AACGTATTTTAAACGTCTTCTTTAGGATGGGGTGATGCACCGCTACAAGTACTTATATCTCTTTACTGGATATGATGGGAGCTGGGGTGGTAGCCCATACATGCGCTGCAGTTGTCTGCGTATATTCACGTGAATGCACCCTTAATCTCTTCACCAGCAGTGAGGCTACGATTTCCCAGTCTCTTTATCCCAGCCAAAATGCAGTTGCTGCATACCATCCCCCATGTCATCATTCCTGCTTAGTGCAGGCCCCCGCGTCCGTGCTGGGTCAGTCAGATCAGGGAATGGATGCAGCTGCAAGCTGGCTTGTCAAGTAAAGAAAAGAAGAACGGTTGCTTTTAGAGAAATCTGTTCCCTGATCCCAAACCCTACACAGATACTGGGGTGTGCTGGAAAAGGTTGGGAACCTGCAGTGTGAGACGGGGTGGAGAGCTGAACCATGTCTTTGGACATAGCCTGCATTTAGGTCAGGTTTAAGCAATTGTTATGCGGAGACCTAAGGATAGCAAAGCACAAATTCAGTTTTTGAGACCCAGCTATACATGTACCTGGTAGAATGGTTGTAGATTCCGTCCTAGAGTCTGTTGTTGTATGCAATGACCACTGGCATTCCCAACAGCAATTTTCTGTAATTGCCCCAGTGGTACAAATACCAACCCTTTCACAGCTGTAAGTCTGTTCACCTGCGTTAACTCCACTGTAGCTAAATCACGTATAAGATCTGAAATAGACCTGAGGCTCCGGTTTTGCCTTGCACACAACAAATGCAACAGGAAGAAACCACGTGAACTCAGCAGAGTCCAAACAACCATGTTTGTAGGCTATATATGGGAGACCAGGTCCCGTTACCGATACACGCAACTTGCTCTAAACACAGCATCACAAGCTGTCCCAGAGACTTTTAAAGAGAAATGCCCATTCCCGTGCCTGCCATTGGCCCTAGAAAAGCCTGCAAGCCTCATTTCCATATGGCAGAAGAAATGCTTTGCCTGGGTCCTCTGTGTCTGCAAGCCATGGGGAAGGGTTTGCGTGGAGACCATCGCCTATGTTTTGACATTCCATGAAGTTTTGGGAGATTCTTTAGTTGCATGGAGTCTGGTATTGTTCCAATGCCATCAGAGGCCGCTGGTCCTGCTTTCCTTGCCCTCTCCCTCAGCCACCTTTGTGAAATGCTCCAGACGGGGTGGCTGACTATGAAAAGAGGGAAAATTAAATGGCTTTGCAAGTTCCCCTCCTTTTCCTCCTCCTCCTCTGATCCACACCCTTGTAAAACGAAAAGTGTGAGAAATGTTGGGTGGCACCCAGAGGGGTTCTGAACTTCCTCCTTTATAAACAGGCTGGTTTGAGCTCCATTGAAATAACAGGTCATAGGGGCACCCAAAATGAAAGCCGCTCAGGGGAGTTATTTAGATCCCTGTTCCCTACTGTAGGCAGACGTCTGTGGGATATGAGGAGTCCGGGGACAGAGACAGGGACTCCAGCCATCGCTGTTGGTGCTCGGTGTTGCTCTTGAAATCAGCAGGAAGACCCTGAGGTGTGTTGAGTTATGCTCATGTGCAGGTCTCCACCAGCTATATAAACAGATCACTGCAGGGTCAGGAGCTGTGTTTTTGGCTGGGAGATGCCTTTCAGGGGGTGAAGGAAAGTTCATACCCTTCAGCTATAACTCCTGGTTCCTTTCTCTCTTGGTGATGCTGATCCTCAGATTATGAACTCATTTTGCATGCACAGTTTTGCCTCAAAAAGGGGGGGAGAGCTGGAAATATTCCCTCTGACCTCTAGAAAATGGGAGTTTTATGACATTAGGGAAGCAGCATCTCAAATCCAGAAATACTTCCCCTCCTCTCTCAGTTGGCTCTCATTCAGTAAATTGCCATCTTCACTGCATCGTGCATGCATCCATTTTCATTCAGTGAAACACAAAAGCATAAATCCCACTAAAGGCAGCTGTCCTCAATGCAGTTCCTCCTCTGACTATGAGCAGGAACTCATTTCTTCGTCTCTCTAACCACAATTGAGTAAGGACATTAAGGAGTTTATTACTTCCTAATATCATCTGGGAATGATTTCCATGTTGCATTATTCTCAAGAGTGGGCAAACCTCCTCTGCACCAGCGAAGCAGGGAGCAGTATTGCTGAACCCCAATTACCCTGTATTTAGTGTTTTATTGGAGGAGAGGTTGCAGGTGGCCCTTTATAGAAAGATGCATTTCATCCTTAGTTTTCAGATACCTTATAGTATCCTTTCCACTGGGAAATTAAGCAGACACTCTCCATATCCATTGCAGCTGCTTCTAGTGTTAAATTAAACTGCTGCTATTACAGTGAGCTGTTGCTGGAACTGAGTTGTGTTGTTACTTAATTGTTTATGGCTGTGGATGCGAGCCAAGTAGCAGTCCTGTAGTGGCAAAAGCTGGAGATATGACCTGGAAAACAGATGTTTGGGCCAAAGCCAAGGTGGTTTCAGGAAAGACAGTGAGAGAGAAGCAGGAAACCAGTTATCTGTCTGATTTATTGGACAGGGTGAAGAAATTTACCCCAGGACAGAGTGCTCACACGAGACTGGTACAACAGTAAACTCCAATTTTAGCTAGCTTTTAGCCAGCCTTTGCAAAGCTTACATGGGCAGCTGTTGATCTGTTAGTGGTAACACTAGGTGTGCCAAACCTACAAGCTTTGCAGCTGGGTAGAAAATTCTCGCCTGTTTGCTGGTGGCTGCAGAACATCTCATGCAATAGACTGGTTTATGTGAAGGCCCAGCATAAGTCTTTTACATCTAATACAATGCAGGGGATTTTTTGAAATTTAATGGCTTGAGGAATGTGAGCAAAACCAGCTGTGTACTGTGGAGGTGCTCCCTGTGAACATCCCCAGGCATTCCCCTTTGCTCTCAAAGGAGAGAAATGGGTTCATCACATGCTAATAGAGGGGTCTAAAATCCATCCAGCTGATGATCTTAGGGTGCCAGTTTTTCTGTTTCTCTCTCAGGAGCCCAGGTAATCGCCTCATGTGGAGACACAGATGCTGTAGATGTCTAGGATTAGGTGAGATCTGTCCCGCCCATGTTTTCACAGAATGACAGGCTGGCTGAGCTTGAAAGGCACCTCTGGAGATCATCTTGTCCAACTCTCCTGCTCAAGCAGGGCCACCTGGAGCCAGTAGGACCATGTCCAGATGGCTTTTGAATATCTCCAAGGATGGAGACTCCACAACCTCTCTGTGAAACCTGTTCATGAAGTGCTTGATTGTACAGAGCCAAAATGAAGTATTGCACTGAAGAGGAGGGAGGGGGTGTCCAGGATTTAAGACTAAGAAAAGTTTTAAATGTCACTGTTTAGGGAGCAGATCCACAGATCTGAACAGGTATCTTGTAGCACATCCAACCAGTGATTTTTGGAGCTGTGATGTATTTAGCAGGACAAGATGCTTTCCCAGTTTTAACTGTGTTGTAACTACATTGATTTCATTGAAATGTGATGAGCGCCAGGCTCAAACTTTTAGCCCTAATTTTGTTTCTTTAGTACTTAAGCCAATAGCATTACCACGGTTTAGTACCAAGGAGTCATCAAATAAACTTCAGCTTCCTTTGGCAACACTCATGTTCTTAGATGCCCAACATGTTGACTAGTAATTCTGGTTAGCATTCTGAGGTTTTAAAGGTGAGTTTTGAAAGTCCTGGTAAGGGGGTGCTTACAGCCCTCTCTGCACTTCCCCTTGCTCCCATTCATGGAACAAGCGGTTGTTAAAGCCAAAGGTGTGGGAATTGGGGATTTGGAAGAGGATACATAATCTTCTCTTGCCCAGCAGTCACCAGAAGTATTAGTGGACTATGGTAGAGGCAGAGAGAATACTTCTCTGTTCACACACAGAGCAGACAGAACATGCAGCTACTTGGATTTCCTTTCTGCTGCCAGAGACACTTTGATTTGGTTTTCCTTTTTTCTTTAGGCTAAGTAGGCTTCTTATTTTTTGAAACAAACAGCTAAATAATTGCATGGAACAGAGAGGGGAAATACATATACATATATTTCTTACTGTTAAAGGGATTTTTTCCCTACTTAATTTGATTGGATTTCTCTGCTTCTGTCAGTCCATGCAGAAATTTTAGACATTTTGTGCCATGGACCACCCATAAACCATTCACTGTACTATTGTGCAGTGCCACAAATGCTCCTCCTTACAGAGCTACCTGTGCTTGAATATCTAAATGCAAGTGGCTTTCCAGAGCAAGTTTATCCAGGCACTTGGCTAATGTGTTTCTGAAACACCCTTCAGAGAGATGCTGCCCTCATCCAGAGGAGAATAAGATCGTCCTAATCTCCTGCATCCAGTCCCAGGCGGTGTTTGCCTTTCCCACTAGCTTCTGTAAAATTGCAAAAGTGTTGGTGTTTTCCTAGTTGAGGGCAATGCCACATGCAGAGGTCCTTGGGCAGTCTTCAGAGGAGGTCTGATAGCTGCTGGTGGCCCACAGTCTGTGCATACCTAGGGATACGCAGTAGACATGAGTTACAGGACTTTTTTCTCTCTTTCTGTCCTATCCTGTCTTCCCCAGGAACCTGACGGTTTTGTTCTCTTTTAAGCGCAATATCCAAGAGGGTTTATGAGTCTTCGCCGTTTTCCTGAAAACTCAGCCCATTTTGTTAGCTAACCTACCCAGGAGCTCAAATGGGAAGGAGAGGAGAGTCTTCCTGTGCTGTCCGTTGTATAAATTGCCCTTATGTAGGGGAATAAATTTAGGCAAACCTCCTGGGAAGCCTCCCCTGCCGAAATGCCCGTCAGAGAATAGCTGCAGTTGGCTGCATGGGTCATCTGTTTGCCAAAATGTCAGAAAGTGTTGCAGCATGAGTGTTCGGTATTTGTGAATATTTGGGCCAGAATAGTTGGTGTTTCAGTCCCAGTGCTAACTGTAGCTGTTTGTCTTCATTTTACAAAACAGGAAGAAGGAGAAGATCTCACCATATCCAGGACACAAGCAAAACAACGACCTGCTGCGACCTGGCCACACACTAACAGAAAGTTGTTCTGAGTTTTGCAGTCGCCTAGACTTTTGCACAGGGGGCTGATGGAAACTCATCGCTCCACACTGCTGGGTAAGAGAAAAGACACTCAAGTAAAGGGCTATGTCTTGGTTTCTCATGTTTTCTTCTCTCTTTGATGGTCTTGCCTGCTGTCTCCTTGAACAGAGAGTCCAAGTTTTAAAGTCAGCCCAGCCAGAGGAGCAGTTATCCTCATTCTTTCAGCTGAGAAAATCCTTTCCATGTTGTGCACAACTGTAATGAAAAGAGAAGACCCTCTTGCCAGAGACTGAACTTGTCTGTCAGGAAAATACTATTTACAGGTAAGAAAATGCCATTCCCAGGAAAGAATCTGGATCTTCTGCTATGTGAGGCTAGAGAAGCTGCCCTTAGGATAGGACATTTTATGTGTAAAAAGGAGAAGAGACTTGGGCTGCATCCCACACCAGAAGTCCTTCAACTTTTTGCTGTTGTAGTTGAACAATGTATTGTCAATATATTTGACAGGTAACAGCTGGTGACAAGACTCGTGTCTTTTAACTTTGGTGGTCCAAGACATAGACATCTGCAGCTGGGATCAAAGAGCTTCTTGCTCCCCATTGACTAGAAGGGGAGCCAGGAGTGACAAGCCCTGAAGTTGACACAGGAGTTGGGTGGTAAATCCCAGTCATTGGGCCCAGGCGGCACAACAATGGCCACCAGCTACAGCAGTTAATAATTTTTGGTTTCACTACATATTCTCTCTAGAAGCTCTGGAAGAGCCTACAGAGGAGACCAACCCAAAGGCTTTGTTGTGTTTCCTGGCATCTTGATTTTATATGGCTCTGTTTTAAGCTGCTTAAAATTATCCTGAGATCGTTTTTTTTTATTCTTCTCCATTTTCTACACAGCGTGGTTCATATAAGCTGAACTTTCTCTTTATAGCTTGACTTATGAATGTGGGTCAGCACTCAGGCAGCTGAGTGCCCGAGATCATTTCCATGCTGTATATAAATAGTACACAGTTATTTCACAGTTTCATGTTCAGCTCACAGGCTTCCAACATCCTTGTATTCCCGAAACCCTTTCTATTCTCATAGCGTTCGGGTGCTTGAACGCATGACTCAACACGAATTACAGCAGAGGTTACCCCAGCCAAGAAAGTCCCCATTTGGCTTCTGTGTATTGTCATTCTCGTTCCTGATGGCTGGCATCAAGTCACTAATACTCAAAGCTGCTGTCGCGGGTCTTTCCAGCCCCGCGATGAGTTCAGCTATGCGGTTAAGCCGACAGCTGAGTTACGTTACCTTACGCACGTTAAGCAGCACTCGGTTAGTCCATCGTCTTGCTCGACAGTGGAGGAAGTCGGAGAGTCTCCAGCTGGATGGATAACTAACGGCCGGCGTAACCCTGTCGAACGGAGATAAGAGGCTGGTTAAAACCAAGGGAATTTTTAGACTCTTCCCAAATATCGCCTGTCTTTTGTTTGACACAGGACTTGTCATGTCTCCCTTTCTGCGTATTGGTTTATCCAACTATGACAGCGGCCCTTACCTGCCATCCCAGGGGGAGGTGATTAACCCTTACTGTGCCGTGATGGTTAAAGAAGCCGTGGAGTCAGGTAAGTGGGGAGATGTTAAATATGCATATGAGTTTTTACAAGACTTGTGTGCACCTTACTGTGTCATTTCTGGTGTGTAAGAAGCACATTGGTTAATCTTTATAAGGGTTTGTAAAGTGCTTTTTGTGTCTCAGCACAGTGCAAGTTTGGGTTTGGCGTGGCCTGCAAGACAATCTGATTTTAAGATGGTGCCCAACAAATCTATGTCTTCAATTTGAGGTTATTATCAACTGAATTACAGTTCTGCATGTGACAGAGCAGATGAGCTGAGCTATATTCGGTTTCACTTTTCTATGAGCAGTTGCTGGTTTGTCAGTGGGACTCCAAGCAGGTGAAGTCTGGGTGTCCTAGAAATATCCTGTTTATCTTTGTTTATCACATTTTTTTGAGGAACTGACAGGTCCAGCAACTTCAATCATTTTAAAAAAAAATAGCTCTCAAACAGCCCCAGCCTTTGCAGAGAGAGTTAATTTCTCTACGTAATTGTTGTACTATGTAAAATGTTTGAAAATGAAACCTCCCGCTAAGCTGTTGTCTATGTCTGGATACATGGATCATTGCACACTTTCCTTGATTGAACAAGACTGATGAGTCCTCATTGGGAAAACACTTCTTAAACATGTCTTATACACAAAAATAGTCCCAGTGAGGGGATGAAAAGTTCTTCCATTCTGCTTTTCAAGAACCATGAAGATCAAGAATTTCAGTGTTAGGGAATTCCTCATATTGGCTGTTGTTTATCTTAAATCTTTGATAAATTCCTAACTTGACTGCTGTGATTCTTGAAAAAAATTAAATCAATTCAGAAATCCCTTTTTATACCTTGAGAATCCCTGTGACTTCAATCTCCAGAGGATGTTAAAGTAGTTTAAAAAAAAAAGATTTTAGAATTTTAAAACAATTCAGTATTTCCCTGGGCATTTTTGTTTGTTTATTTGTTTACTTTTTTGTTTGTTTGTTTTTTAAGAGTCTGCATTTATCACATTGAACTTTAGCTTGGCTTAAATGACACTTTAAATGATTCTCAAAGATGTGGTGACTGGTAAATTCAAAAGGAAAGAAAATACTGCATGACAAGTTATCCCTAAGATCTCACTTTTTACTGAAAAGATGTTCTATTTCATTGCTGTGCAGAGCTTGGCAGTTTGCTTTAATGAGGCCTTTGAAAGCCGTAACTCAAATTGAAGTTTCTGTCAGTTCAAAAGTAAATAAAATCAATTTGGTCAGAACAGACCTATATTTATTTGTCTTACACACAGCAAAAAGCTTTTTCTGGCACCTAACAAACACAAATGTACTAAGGGATATAATTTTTGTGGTCCTGAGAGTCAATAATAATAATAATAATAATAGTAATAGTACCTCTACCAAAAAGAAATAAACAAGTGTGGTTTGGGGAACTTTCCTCCAATAGCGAGGATTGAATATAGGAAAAAATGATGTCCTTCTAATAGAAGATATACGTTTGCTGGGGTTTAATTGCACTGGTCTAGCCGTTGCTCAGAGCATGTGGGGCAGCCAGGGGCACTTCTCGTCATGTCAGGGATTGCAGCAGGAACCTCCTGAGATTGATTCATCTCAGACTCCCCTCTTGGGGGGTTGAACCACCCTTGGGAGGTGTTAATCTGCTGCTGGTGGAGGGTGTCTAAATGTGTAGATAGCTAACCTTACCTTAAGGTGACTAAGCCAAGATGAGGCCACGGTGGGATCCATCTCCCCTATAATTCCAGTCTTCTGCACGGACGTTGATATCGGAGCAACTCAGCTACCCTTGCATTAGAACCCAAGGGAACAAACAGGGATTTCTGTGGCGGGATTCATCTCGTCTTGAGGAAGACATCCATACGGGGTACTGATGAATCACACCCAGAAAAGCCCAGTGCTCTCCGCTGACTCCAAGGCCAGTTTAGACAGTCCGCTCAGAGGTAAATGTCTGATGTTCAGTGAGGGGAGCCTGACTCTAAATGCCAGAAATGCTCTCAACATGACCGTCCTGAGGAGCTGTCATGCTCAAACAGGCTCAGAGAAGGCAAAAGGCAATGAAGGTCTCAGGACAAACATCAGCTGAGTGTATTTGAAATAGCTGCATCCCTGCTTTGTGATTTTTTTGATCACGGTTTGCTCTCTGGCTTCCTGATTTCACGAAGCACTTGCTAGTCAATGGTAATAGGATTCAAAAAAAAAATTATATTGGTGCCCTGATATGCAAATTTTGGCTAAAGTGGCATGTCCAAGGTGCAGGAGTGGATCAGCTGCACAGCTGGTAAGAGATGCAAATAATCCTGTGCTCTGACACACGGCCACTAAGATTTCTTCAGGACAAATGATTGCTATATAGCGGTGAGTGCAGAATGCAGGGCAGGACATGCCTAAACCCAGAGCCGAATCCAGGATAGATCCAGTCCCAAATCCCTGCAAGCTCTGTGCTGCAACTGGTTTGGTAGATGACTCTGCTCTGACTTTTGCAATGTCCTATTACAGATCGGATATATACCATGTTTAGCATTAGCAAAGTGTGAGGCGTTTTTGTTTGTTTGTTTTTTACAGACAGAGCTATCATCTATAGTGGTAGATGATAAATGTATTTGGTTCCCAAAAAAAGGGAGTTTGACTCTGACTTTGGGTTCATGCCAAAGGCCATCCCTTGTCAACTAGCTGTGATGAATAAGTCCCACAGGTCCCCAGGGGTCTGGGAGTAGTGCACATCACCTGTGGACACAGGGGTGTCACAACAAGGCCACCCCAAAGAATTTCAGAAGCTCAGGAAAGATCTCAGGCAGCCTTTTTGTTTCTTCCACTTGCTTATTTTGTAAAAGGAACCCTGGTATTTTATGATATAGTCTTTAAAAAACAAACAAAAAAACCCATACCTCCATACAGTTAGAAGTGTTATTTATTACTGATGACAAAACATTTCAGAGATCATAGGGGCCTCTGAGGTATAAAAAACCATGCCCTTTAAAAATGACTTCTGCCTTCAGAAGCCACCCGGCCCGGTGCCATTTTACCACCTGTCCTGGTGACATTTGCTTCGTGAAAGATCCTGCTCCATGTTTGAACTCAACAGGCCTCCAGGAAAAGTGCTCCCAGCTACAGTGGAGGCTGCTGCCTGGGAAAGACAGAAGCTATTTTATTTTTCAGGAACCCAGGGTTAGATTAATCCCTGGCAGAATTCCACAGACGTCAGCGGGGATGCGCCGGGGGTGACTGTCTGATCCCATATATTGGCCAGTTCATTCACATTCCAGGGTTTGTTTATTTAAGCCATATGTTTCGGAGTGCAATGCAAACGAAAGCACTTGTTTTGCAAGTGCTGTGTTTCACATCCGTGGAGTTTCACTGATGTAGCAAAGAAATAATGGTCCTTACTGAGATTTCTGTTCTCCGTGGTGCTTGGAAGTTTATGTCCCATTTTTTATGGCTCATTTTGTTTGCTTTTGTTGAAAGAGTGCGCCAAATGTATATTTGCAAGCTTGATGGGAATGAATTAAGCCTGCAGACAATGAGCTCAGTATATGATTGCCTAAATCTGCATATGTGAAAAGTCAACCTCACTTAACTGATAGAGATGAATTCCCCTTAGACTGGGTTGCTCCAAACTTTGGGGAAACTGAATTTGAACCTAAGATTTAGCTGCACAACCGCTTGTCATACCAGGCAGGACAAGTGTGAGAAGTGATCGTATGCTGCAGGAATGATCTCTGCTCAGTTCTGCGATGCAGACCAGTGCTGATGGTCAGAGCGGACTGCAGCTCAAATCGAGTTTATGTGATCAAAACAAGTGCAAAAGCACTTTGTGAGAGCCAGGTGTTGGGCTGTGGAGTGAAATTTCAGCAAGTCAGTATTGGTTGCAGGATCCTGAGTGCCTCTTCTCAGGAAGCCACTTTCTCAACCTAAATCTCTCTAGTGAGTATAGTTTACATCAGTGGCTCTGGCAGTTCTTTCTCCTTCCATAGGAAACCAGTGTACAGGGTGATAAAGAGAGAGTTTTGTTATAATCTCACAGCCCTGATATTTGTTCTCTCCCAAAAAAACGTTCTCTCATTTCCTGACATGAATATTACACAATCAGGAGTCACCATTTCCTTTTTTTTTTCTCCTTCGCTCCTGCCTCCATAACTTTGGAGCTTGTTTACCAATTTTAATCCATCCTGAAGGTGTGGTACAAGCCTCAGAAATCCCCCAGTTCCTGCCTGTGTAGATCAAAGCTGAGCAGAGGGAAGAAACCCAAATTAGTCCTGCCATCTAGGGAAAGATTTTCTCCAGCACGTGTCACATTCCAGGCTATCAGCTGGATGTGCTTTTCCAGCTGGGTGGGATGAAGGAAAGGCTGGGATTATTGGAAATAGGAGAAGGATCTTTAGGAGACAGGAGTCGCAGGTTTGCTGCTCACACAACTGCTTTTTGTTCTGTTATGCCTCCAGCTTCAGCATTTGTTGGGTTGAAAATTTGGAGAGGGTAACTGTGAAACAGAATTTACCTTGAGTAAGTGTCCAAGCCTTTTACAGGGCTGTATGAAATGAATAAAGCTGGCTGATACTCTTTTCAGAGAGAATTAACTAGAGATAACTGTCTGCAAGCTAATGATAAGCCTCAGAGATACCCTTCACCATTTTAAGATGAGTCTACTAGGAAGGAAGAGGAATTAATGCATGAGGAAGAGGTGCAGGAAAAGTTTGCTAGGTTGAAAACTTTACACCACTGTGGATGTGGTTGCAGGTCTGCAAGACAGTTCATATATTAACATCCCTGAGTTAGCCAAGATGTAGCAACTGACTGGACATGTGCTCCAGCTGAACCTTAATCCCAAAGTGCAGCCAGCTTTTGGGGAGATCGAAGCAAACCTGTTTGATTTTGCATTGCCGTGGGACAAATGATACCTGTAGCTGGTTATCTATGATGAGATTCACCTGATTAGAAGTGTGTACCTATGTTGTCAGAGTCTACGTTTGAGGTCTACTCAATAGAGTTAATGGAGTCAAGGGTGGAAATTATCTTTTCTAAGGTAGATGTATGTATTTAGTCAAATGAACACACCCTGACTCCATTGATTTATATTGATTACATTCTCTTCACTGGCTCTGAATGGAGCCAATGTTCAGACAGCTCAGATATGGGCATACACATTGTAGACACCTAAAGTTAAGTGAGAAGAATCCCGTCCTAGGTTTCACTTCACATAGTAACCTCCTAAGACACTCCAAAGTGGTCCTTCGCACACCGTGCCAGGAGAGAGACCTTAAAGTGGGTAAATAACACAGATCTGTCGCAGGGACTGTAGAGTGGTGGCCTTAGTGCAGATGAGTCCAGTCAATCCAAACCACCTCTTGTTGACAGAAAATGGCCAAGTGTACGTGCAGAAGAAGCCCACCATGTACCCACCCTGGAACAGCACTTTCGACGCCCATATCAACAACGGCAGGGTCATGCACATCATCGTCAAGGACAAAAGTGCCGAAATGGTTTCAGAGACCACGGTGGAACTCAAGGTGCTGGCGGAGAGGTGCAAAAAGAGCAATGGGAAAACAGAGATATGGGTGAGCATCGTTATCTCCTCTGGCAGGATGGGATGGGGTGCTGCTGTAGGGTATGAGAACGCCTTGTATCCGTGCCAGGCTGTGACGGTAACCAGGAGGGCAGCAGGAACTGGCTGCCAACCGAGGAATAATGTTTTGAGTATACTTGGGTATGACTTGAAGGAAAGACTTCCATGCATGTCAGAAAAAAAAGAGCATGGCACATTTATATTACCTGCTGCTGTTATATTGAAACATGTGCCTTCTCTTAGCAAGGACTCTGGTTCAGGTGAGCCGTGCCCACATATTAATCTTCGCTTAGGAAACCCATTGGGGACAAATGGTAATGTGAGTGGCTAAGTGTGAATTATTTTATGTGCTCTGGGGAAACAGCTTTAAAAATTTAATCTAATATCATGTAACTGATTCACAGCTGCCCGACTTCAGAGTTATGTCAGAGGAACTCCTTTAAAATCACTGGAGTTATAGTGGAGTAAATTTGAAGTAACAGTCTTCATAAGGATGCTAAATGTAAGGTTGTGTTCCCTGGTAGTCCAACCAAGAAAGTTCTTGATAATAGTCTTTAACATGTAGTATTCGGTAGCCATACCATGAATAACAATAAAGCAGAAAGACATTTGGAGAGAAACTGATTTCCTGGATTTTTTGTTTGTTTGGTTTATTTCTCATGCCAGTTCTCAGACAAAGCTGCTTGCGTTAAGCAGAGAGTAGAAAAGCCAAAAAGGCCTTGGTCACTTAACACACCTAAGAGCAAGATTTGGTAGAGATTTGCACATTTAACACATAACTTGGAAGGAATTGAGAAACTTAGGGAAAGAATTGAAAACTGAAAGGCTCTGCTCAGCATGACTCCAGCCCCAGGCTCCAAAGCCATGGGAGGCAGCAGCCTGGTGAGGAGGAGAGGGGGGACGTAATCTGGGGTGCTGCTTGCTTGCAGCAAGGGTAACAGACCTGAGGTCAAGTGGAGTTGGGAGACCCTCGTTCTGTTGTGTCCCAGCCTCGTACCAGCTCCTGACATCTTCTCTCCACTCACTCCGCGATACAGGTTACAACCTGGGGAGAGTGGTCTCAGATATCTCATCCCACAAGGGTCATGAGGAGAGAGAATAGCATTTTTCTCACTTTTCTGTGCAAGGGCACGGTTTCACCTGGAAGGTAGAGAGGTCACCTTGCGCAGGCTGTGCTGGAGGTGGGTGGGGAAGGGACTGTTGTGGTTCTCAGGCTGAAGAAATCCTTGAAGGTAGGTCTTCTTATTCCTAGGCAAGTGGATCCAGATTTACAAAGGCACCTATGGACGGAGGTTCAGATAGGTGGGAATGTCCAGGTCCAGTGGGAAGGCCCCAAAAATGCCTGAGTAAGCTTGTGGCATCAAGGACTGTAATGGAAGTTAGACTTGTAGAACCAAGTGTCTAAAAGATTTCAACATCTTTTAAGTACCTGCCTGAAGTTGGCTGGGTTTTCTGAGGTGCTCCCACTTCACCCCCACAGGATCTACTGGGAATCATGAGATTTCTCTATAGATAGTGCTGGTCCTGAGCTGGAGTCTAAAACCTGCCTACAGCTTCTGTGGTTTTTCTCTTCTATCATGCTGCTCCAAGTGTTTGATAAGAGGTGATCTAGCCTCCTCTCTCTATAATTGCTCCTACCCTGCCTTGTTGCCCCACACGGGTATGAGCAACCCAAAAATTAGCATTCATTGGCATTCACCAGTTCCCTCTGGGAAAAGGAGATAGCTTGAGTCATCTGAAATTATTGTTGCTTCTTTGAATGACTGTTTAATGATTGCACTGGTCTTTTTTTCTTATTTTTCACTTATCTCAACCAGCTAGAACTGAAACCTCAAGGCCGAATGCTGATGAATGCAAGATACTTCCTGGAAATAAGTGGTAAGTGATTTCGTTTGTTAATAGATAGATGTGATTTCTGGTTATGTGGGGCAGACATGAAAATGAAATGCTCCAAAAAAGTGATTTTTATTGTATGGTGGGGATGAAGATTGACTGTTCCTCTGTGATTTGCAAGGCAGATTTTTGGCCATTTTGCCACTAAAATGATAGATTTTCTCATTATGTTAAGTAAGGCAGAATAGATACATAAGGAGCCAGCTCCCTCTGAAATCATTCTACTTGTATGTATGCACCTAACATGTGCCTTGGTGTGCGTTATAGTGCAGATGTAAAGGATGGGATACAATTTATGGTTGACAACACCTAAGTATACATGTTAGTCGGGCTTTTAAGATCAAGAACAATCTAGGCAAAACAGGAAAAGAACCTAGAAAGTGATTCAGCTGATCAAATGTAGGTTTCTGCTGCAAGGTGAGCTGAGTCATTCACTGGGCTCCATTGCCTGGTCCAGCTAGACCTCCAGGGATGTGGCAGTGGCTTAGTCAACCTGGACAGGTGATGCCATCATTTACATGTCTTCACTGGGAACCAAAGCCCACCGGCAGAGTTCGATGTCCACGTGAAATGCATTTTGCTTTGTTGAAGAAAATGGGTTACAATCCAAATGCTCAGTTTTATTCTCCCGTCTTTGATGCCAAAATTCTGCCACATTCAGATGTGGGGTGAAGCTGTGAAGTATAGGTATCTAGAAGGACCTCCCATTTATAGAAGCATAGAAGTACTGAAGGCGGCTAATAGCTTGTCCATACTGATATTTTCTTCATTCATTCCTACCTTTAATATAGAACAGACTATTATTGCCTCCTTGTATGTTATAAGATATCAGAGGCCAAAGCATAGAAAATGCAAGTTGTGTTTGTATTACAAAAAGCAAGATCAGCATCAGATCACACAGGGGGCCAGTTACCACAGAATATCTATGTAACTTGCTGTGTAATGGATGAGTAAAACAAAACAGAGATTGAGAGTGAGGTACTGTGTGCATATCTAGATTTGTGGACACAAGCACATATATAAGTGCACAAGTATATATGCACGTGTAGTCAGAATTGGTTTGTTTGCTGTTCTAAAAAGTTTAAATGTGAACCGTGAATAATGGCATGGACACAGCAAACAGCAAAGCAATTGTTGGCATGGAAAAATAACAAGAAAAAGAATATCCTAGGAACATACATACATGCTTATCACACACATTACATGCACACATAAAGTATTCAGTTAAATACCCACATATATATATACACACGTGTGTGTGTGTGTGCGCATATATAGATAACAATTAATTTTTATGTAATTTAAGCTTTTTTAGGGCATGGCTCTTCAGTGCTATACAAAGTTAGAATTTTATGTTTAACTGAAAATTATCTCTCCTTGGGAAATTTCTGCTCTACCTTTCAAAAGTAGCATTATGTATATTCAAGGGAGCTCAGACTCCCAAGTTTAATGTCATTTTAGTGTCCTTGTAGGAACAGTAGATAAAAAAACCATCAAACAAGTCTTGTGTGGGTTTCAAAAAGCAGTAGTTCTTAAAAATTTTTATTCCCATGAGTGAATTATGAGCCTCAGTCACTTAGTATTTTGGCAGCTGCATTTTCTCAAGGCGCCTGATCAGGACAGGGTACCCTAATAAATCTTCTGTTTCCTTTGCCCCCAGATGCAAAGGACCTGGCTGACTGTGAGACTGAAGGCTTCTTCTCCTTGCACCAGCGCAGGGGAGCCATCAAACAGGCCAAAATCCATAATGTCAAGTGTCACGAGTTCACGGCCACCTTCTTCCCACAACCCACCTTCTGCTCTGTCTGTCATGAGTTTGTATGGTAAAGGAAAAGAGATTTCTGCTTTTTCTCCTTTTAGTGGTGGACATGGCAGCGTTAGGTTTACGGTTGGACTCAGTGATCTTAAAAGTCTCTTCCAACCTAAATGATTCTATGATTCTATGATTCCCTGGTGAATATCTGTGCTCCTGCTGTCAGTAAAGGCAGCAGGATGAGACCCTTGACATCTTACGTGTAGAGTTACTGCATCACTTCAGGGATGTGGTTCACAGTTTTAATTCCAACTGTGAAAATTCCCTTCATTTTTTAGTTTATTTTTTATAAATATTTCTGGTTTTGTCCAAATGCACAGACATTTCTCATCATCCCAGTTCGCTATTTGGATATTGTGAAATTCAGAATGTGAATATGTGCTGTGAAAACCACAGAGAATGACTCCACAGTTAGATTGAATGAAGATATTTACATTAGAGAAGCTCTATAAAGACTGATAAAAAGCAAAGCTGTTTTATTCTCTTTCTTTCATAAATGTTGCTGTCCTTTCTTCTGTCGAGGCTTTCAGACAATTCAGAATTAATCATTTCTCTGTTTATTTCAGGGGTCTGAATAAACAAGGCTATCAGTGCAGACGTAAGAAATTTTTTTTATTTTGTTACTATCATTATTTGCTTGATACTTTCTTGAAGAATTTTTTTATTAACACCATAACACACTTGTTCTTTCAGAATGTAATGCTGCCATTCATAAGAAGTGCATTGATAAAGTAATAGCCAAGTGTACAGGATCAGCAATCAATAGCAGAGAAACAATGGTATGTATTATTCTTTGGCTGTTTTTAAAACAACTTTAGTGGCGTTCAGATCTCTCCTACATCACTGTAAAACAACTTCTAATGAAACAAAACATGCTACTGAACTAAAAAAGGCTGTGTGATCTGATCTGTGCCCTTTGTTTTTCACGTTCCCAATGGTTTCATTACCTCCTACTTGTGATTTACTCAAATGCAGCCGCTGAATAAGTAGTTGCTGAATCAGGACTGACATTTTTCAAATGTGTGAAGTATAGCTCAGAGGAAGATCATGGACATGAGGTGGAGATTTACTGGAGGAAGTTTTTCACTCTCCGATGTTAGGCAGGACATTACACTGAATTTTCAGAGCAGTACTTTAACATCCCACTCTGTGTTATCTGAGATTTCCAAGCAGTCAATGGAATATCTAACATCTCCACTATTATTTGTTTTATTTTTCTCATATCAGTTTATTATAAACCTTTTTTGGTAGGCAAAAGTGAAACTTTAACTCTTGATAGGACTGTTCCCTTTTCCTTAATCGTTTTCCACAGCTTCTGTTTGCTTCCAATCCTACCCTGGTTCCTGTTCTCCTTCTAGAGTCTTTAGAGATGAGATTCGTCTCGCTCATCTTCTGACATCTCCAGGGTAGATGCATCCAACTTTGTCATCACCTTTGACTCCCTATGTACTAAAAGAAGAAAAATAGGCTTTTCCAAGGAGTGATTCATGACAAAAAATATTGACGTGTAGCTGAGATGCAAGCAGCTCTCTGGTCAGATAAATCAAGCCAGGGAAGAAATTACCCAGTTCCCACCGAATTGCAGTTATTATGTATAAAAATTTGGCTTTGTATATCTGAATGATAGTTATAGATAGTTTCTTCTTGATGGTCATACCCAAGGATAAAAGGGCAGTAGACATCCCATCTTCTGTGGTACAAGTTTGGTTTTCCATGAAGAGTTGAGGTGGAGAGGAGTGAGTTGCCAACAGGGCTTTTCTCTTGCAGTTCCATAAAGAGCGGTTCAAGATTGACATGCCTCACCGCTTCAAAGTCTACAACTACAAGAGTCCAACTTTCTGTGAGCACTGCGGCACGCTCCTCTGGGGCCTTGCACGGCAAGGATTGAAGTGTGATGGTGAGTCCCTGATGTGTGTGGCATGAGCTGAGCATGGGAGTGGGATGTTGCCTTTAGAGAGTTGCAATCTAAAAAGCCAAATCTCATTTATCACATTTCTCTGAGACCTGTATGTGATGGCATCCAGGGTGGTGAAGGAGTGGTAAAGAGGACCATCCTTCAAGGAGAATCATTCTTCAAGGAGGAGGACCACTGTCAGCATATAGAAAGATATGTAGTCCACGAGGCTGAAGAATCACTTCTCAGAGAAGCAAAGAACATCTCAGTGACACCGCTGATCTTCCAAAACCACTCCTACTATCAACTTTCATGCTCTATTTCCACTGTCAGACAGACCCAAGACACTCCACCATCTTCATAATCCTATACCAATGGGGAAATCCTGTTCTATGATTACGGTTTATCTAAGAGCTGATAGATGTGGAGTTTTGGTAGCCTGTAGCTGCAAAGGCTGGTGGATGTGGAAATGCAACCTTTTGCCCAGAAGACAATATAAAAAAACTTTTTCTCCACAGAGAGCCAAAAAATGACCTGAGTGCCATCTCATGAGATGTAATAGGTGCCCAGGCTTTGAGCTGTTTACGTGGCTGGTCTCTGCCCTCGGCCAACAGCAGCTCATGTTCCTGCCCAACCTAATGCCAAACCTTTTACAGCCTCGCTATCCTTTGTTGTCCTGACACCTCTTGTTCTTTCTTTCAGCATGTGGCATGAACGTCCATCACAAGTGCCAGACAAAAGTAGCAAATCTTTGTGGAGTTAACCAGAAACTAATGGCTGAAGCTCTGGCAATGATAGAGAGCACCCAGCAGGTAAATACTTTTAAGCTGTGAGTGACCCAGAGAAAGGAGAATCAATTATTCAACGTTTGTTTCAGTGCAAGAAATAAGGGCATTGAGTGGAGTACTGTGGGTAACAAGTTCAAAGCAAAGAATAGGAAATGGATTCTTCATGGAATAGGTAATTAAACTCATTGCAGCAATTTCTGGAGGCTAAAAGTTTTCACAGGTTCAAGGGGCAATCTCCAGAGTTCATGGAAGAGAAATCCATTCAGGATTAATAGAATAATTAATTTTGTTAATGGAAAAGCACTGCCTTTGAATCAGGAAATCTCTGAGGAAATCTTTCTCCCTGAGACAGGGAGAATATTCTGAGGAGGTGACTTTGTGTGCCTCTACTCTTCTTATATCTTTACCTGGTATGTACCTGACTTCTGCTGTAGACAGGATAGGACCTGGACGGACTCTTTCCCTGATTCGGTACAGCTGTAGTTACATTATATTTGTAACTGAGATTGTGTAACAGGGTCCAAGGAACTTGGTTTGGGTCCTTTTGCTGTCACTGCCTTGCTCCATGGTTGTCACTTAGCAGTTGCTCCTGTGATTCTCTGATGTGTTTGGAATGAAGCTCCCCAGATCAGGGACTCTCATGAAGAGAGATGGGCCCTGGGGAGAGGATCTAGATACTACTGTCATACAAATAGTGTATGAACACAGAAAATTGAATTAAAAAGAAGGAAATTTAGCTTGTCACAAGCCCAAAACCATAAAAGTATTTAGAGATAGTAGTTCAGGGTTGTTAGGACACCTCTCAGCTCTTGAGTAACCTCAGAGAGGGACAAAATCCATAGGTACCCAGCCCTCCATATTTAGGTTCCTCAAGTATCCCAATGCAACATCTTCATCCATACAGCAGGTGTTTTTCCATCTATACGATCCTGAGGGCCTCTCTACCAGGTTTAGCTCTGCATATTTCTCACCTTTATGCAATAGGTAGTGCTGCCAAACCTCCAAAGAGGAGTTTTTCCTGCTCTTGCTTCTCTATTTCCTACCTGCTCTCTCTCTCCAGCTCCATGCACTGCATACTTTGGGTCACCATTGAGTTGTGCAGAGGGCAAACACTACATACTTTCCCCAAAATACTCTTTTAATCTCCAGAAATTTAGGCTTTGGGGACTTCTTGAGTCATAGATGGAGTCTTAGTGTTTAGTAGCCCTCAGAGGATTTGTCTTTCATGCTTTTGTCTCACCACCCTTGAATCTAGACAAACTCTTGCCTTCTGCAACATCCTGGGACAAGGAGTTCTTCAGAGTGACATCCAGACACTGTACAGGGGTGAGGCTACAACATGATCCAGATTTTTGTTGGTATTTTTCCAGATTTCTCTTCGAAGAGAACTATTAGAAAGGATGTTGTTAATTAAAATGCCCTCTGCGTGGATGGTCAGAGACTCAGACCCCTGTGCAAAATAGGGGATCTCTATTTTGGCAGTACAAATACCTGTTAACATCCACGCACATCTCATAAGAAACCTTGCTGAAGGCTGTGGGTTCCACTAGGTTACCAAACCCCTAAAAGTTAGGTACAGAGATGCTCTTTTCATAAGCAAAGACCTCTTCTAGATCTTGGCTTGTGTGACAGTCACACTTAAGAAGCCGGAGCGTCCATAAACTCAGAACATGATATTTGGCTCAAAAGTCATTTGCTGTTTTCTGTAATCCAGGCTCGCTCTCAGCGTGACACTGAACAGATCTCCAGGGATGGACCTCTTGAAATTGGCTTCCCAGTTCCAGCGAAGGAGGTAACACCGCTTCAGGCATTGCCAGCATCTACAACAGGAAAAAAAGGTAGTTTCCCCTAGTGAGATGGTGTGGCAGGCTTTGTTAATTTTTTGGTTTGTACGTGGTTAGGTGACGAGGGTGGAGAATTTATTAGCCAGTGAATCTTTCATGCATCTTTCCAGCCTAGAGCAAGACATACGTTTTCTCATCCCAGGATATCAACAACTCTTCCCAGCCACATCACTTGGACGTGGCAGATACCCTGGATCCCAACCTGGTTCCTTTCTTCTCTATAAACCTGCATTTCCCCCCTGCCATTCCAACCGCTGGTGACGTGAGACACCAACTGCCACTCATTCAGCTAACCCTTAAACTCTCTTTCTGACTCCATACTTGAGCATATCTCATACCTTCACTGGCAATAATATGTTTATTCCCTTCTTGGGACTCATAGACTGTAAAATGTGAGAACTTTAAAGAGAAACCAAGATCAGAACAGGAGATTGGGAGTCCTTCTGATCACTATGACTAATTCTGTTTCCGATTTCGTATTTTTGGGTGGGGGTTGACATCCAGTACCTTTGAAAATCATTGACACATCCCCACTTCATTCACCCAGGAGCTGATCTAGGTGTCACAGCCCTCTGTGCTACAAGGGCAGGAATTTAGGAGGGTGAATGAGAGATCAGGGAGCACTGTTGATTAACAGACCTTGGACAAAGCTACCAGGGGCTCAGTGACCTAAAACAAAAATTAGTCTCCTGGGGAGATGCCTTGTTTGTCTGCTTTGTGCTTGAGTCACAGAACTCTGGATATTAGGAGCAAAAACATCACCATCTTTCTTTAGACCCATGTGGCCCACGTAAAAGATCATTTCAGGATCATGGTGCCCCTCCAAGCACTGTACTGTAACTGCAGCAGGCCTATGATGGCACTGACACAATGGTGTTTTGCCTTCCATGAGCTTTAAGATGCATCTACCAGAAAGGGAAGGGAGAAAAAGAAGAGTACAAGTGAATCAGTACTTAAACCTCGCAAGGACTGAGACAGTGGGTCCTCAGCTCCAGCCCTAACCAAAGGTTAAGCTGAGAGCCCAGGCCCACCATCATCTACTTTCTCAATGCAAGTTAATACTGCTCTGTGTGGGGATAATATCCTGGAAATGGACCTAGAGCAAAATGTCAGAAGGCACCAGTTAAAGCACATCAGAGACACGTTATACCAGTGCTCTGGGTTTGATACTGTGCAGCACCAGGTTACTGCGCCTCAAAGGCTGGTTTTGGTACCATCTGAGCTAAGGTGACAGTGCCCTTTGGCCCCCAAAGGGAAATAAATGATGTCCCCATTTGTGCTTATTTTCTTTCTTTTCTACAAGTAGAACTGGCTATGCTGATGTGAATCAGTAAAGCCTCAAATGGTTTCAAATCTGGTTTACCCGTGAGTCTGTTTGTCAGCTGAGTAGTGTTCTTGCTGTTCAGCAATTTAGGACAGTACAGCAAATGTACACTTGAGTACATGGGATAAATCCAGTAAGGGACAGAATCTCTTAATCTCACATACATCCAGGTGAATGGACTATTGAAGACACTCTGAGTAGTTCCACTCCAGAGCAGCTGGAGTGCGTGATCAGAGCTTCCCATCCGGAGCAGGCACCCAATATGAAAATGCTGTCCCATCTTTTCACATGCTAGCTTTGCCAAGGGTCTTGAGAAGGCCTCAAAAAAATGGGATCACATCATAACGGCAACCAGCAAGAAGGAATGAAGAATGCAAGTGGCCAGAAATTAAGGGTTTGGTCACGCTTTGTTGCCATAAAACAGAAAGACAGATGAAGGAGTTTATAAAGTGGGAGTAATGCCACTGAAGAAGGTGGAGTTATACTGGAGTAAAATTTCCTCTGGCGAGAAAGCAATGCGGGAGCAGAACGAATCTACGTAGTAGATGTGGCCACTACATTTCCATTTATTTGAAATACCCTTCTAAAACTCTAAACACGATACCTGTAAGTGTTCTGGGCATTTTCTGCTCATTCCCAGGGGTTTATTTGAATCCTTTGATGTGTGTTGCAGAGCCACAGGGCATCTCCTGGGAGACTCCGGTGGAGGGCACAGTGAAGGGGGAGGCTCTAATAGAGTCGGACTTGGGAGACCAACCCCAGGAGCGGGAAGAGCACCAAGTGCAGCTAAAACTAACCATCGAAGATTTTGTCCTGCACAAGATGCTGGGGAAGGGCAGTTTTGGCAAGGTAAGCATCAGGGGACTAGACACCACTGCATAGGTCTGCTTATTGCTTATTGTGGCACCAAATAGCGTGTGGTTTGAAGGCCACTTAGGAAAAACATCTCCAAGCCCTCAAAGAAGCCTTGCTCTGGCGTGGCTGAGTCTTGAAGTTGGTCTTCTCCTTGCCTAAGACAAAGATCTTCCTTGCTCTTCCCTCTGCCCCGTTAGTTTGCTGTCTCATGAGTGCCCATGACAGGAGAGGAAAGCAGCCAAGTAAAGCTGCAATTTCCCCTTCTGTGCAGGTTGACGGGGCCTGGGTGTCCACAGAGAGCTGGTGGGAAAGATCTCTGTGCTGTTCCCCTTCGTGGAGCTACTCCTGCCAACTTAGCTGAGCAAGCTCGGAGGGAGGCAGAAGCATTAGCTGAAAAGTTGAGTGTGGATCACCTCCCCTCTCCAGAGCAGCAGGTCCCCAGCTGGGAACACTAACTGCTCTTTCCCAGCTCCTATCTGTGCTGGAGCGTAAAGCAAATTTTGCAACAGCCAAGAATTTGTGCTTTTGAAACAAGAACCACCTGTTTTCAGTGGATTCATTAATCTTGATGAATTGTGGATTGTTCCTCCTTCTTGCAGATGTCCCCTGGAACATGGGGGACTCATGTTACTCGGTGCCAGCGCAGAGCTGCATGAAGGAATTTCAGAGGAACTCACCATTGTATTTTCACAGCCAATAAGGAGAATGAGTATCGTTATGCATAGCATTGCTCAGATCCCACATCTTTCCAAGGTGGAAACTGTGGCTTAAAGAAGGGCTGCTTTTTGCCTGCTAAGTGAGCTGAAGCAATTGCTGCAGCCAATTCTTAAACTGGTGAAATATTTGCTGTGTTGGCTTTCCATGCTTGAAAATACTTGGCATGTCTACAGTTTGCATGGGAAGCAGAGCTGAGACATCTGAGTTAGAGCTAAGCCGGAATAACCCAAATGCCACAGCCCAGACTAACCCGGACTTAAGTGCATAGATGTCACAGAAACATTTATGTTGGAAGGAAGGGACCTCTGGAGGTCATCTAATCCAACCTGCTGCTCAAAACAGGTCTAATCAAATGAGGTTGCTCAGGGGTTTGTCTACTCAAGTCTTGAACACCTCCATTGAAGCAGACTCTGTCCCGTGCTTCAGCCATCTGTGTTAACACGGACTCTCCAAGCCTACAAGCGTCTGCATCTCTGTGGTGCACCACGTGGGTGTGGAGAGGATGGGCTATTTCATGCCCTTCTGCGACAAACATCACCCACAAGTTTCCTGTGTAGGTGTTGCTCCTGGTGCCCTTACTTATTTGGAGCGAGATTCACTTCCCCATAGAGGGGACGGGGTGTGCAGATCTCAGTGCCTGAGGGGTCTCTCCAGCTCTGCATGGACCAGGGAGGTTGAGGGCCAAACCCATGAGGAAGCCCCCTCTACATGATGTCTAACATTGCCTACCTGCACCTTGGAAGTCACAGCACAAGTCACAAATGTACTGCGTTCCCCAGTTTCCCCAAAAGAACAGTGCCCTGCACAAAAACGGGGGTAAAAAGGGTGCCTGCAGCATCAGCACTGTTAGCATTTCTGGTCATTCACTGCAGAGACAGAGGGAGGCTCTAGGCTCTACTCTCTGTCTAGTGCTACAAAGTGAAATGCAGCAGTAGCCAAAAGGGTAAATAAAACTTTTGTCAGGGCTAAAACATGTCTGAGCTTACTCAGTAAATAGTGTCTGGTAGAGAACTTCAAAGACCTCTTTGATGAATCTTACGTGTTTATTCAGTCTATGGGAAACACTGTCGACAGGCTGTTAGCGTAAAGGTCGGGACTGGCAGTGCCTTCCAGCGGAGACTTCTTTGCTCTGTGGTCTCTAGAAAACCCTTCTCTGCTGCTCCGTGTCTCATTTTCCCTGCCCATAAAAATAGATAGAGGTCCTAACTCCTCTGGGATGTGTTTTGCTATTCTCAAAGAAGTCCTGCAGAAGCACAGGGGACCCAGCCTGTTTGCTCAGGCCTCCCGCTAACTGGGAGGAAGGGGAGAAAGTCACATCTGATATAGATCAGTCTGACTTCTGGTGGACATGGTCTTACACCTGCTGAGGATCTGGTGCAGGGCATTTGCATTTCACATGTTGACAAAGCAATATGCTATGTTTTGTTATTTGAAGTCAGAAAACAGGAAATGTATCTCATGAGCATTTGCATAAAGATGGTTTCTGTTACCCGAAGTATTTGGCTCTCTGACATGTCCTGTCCACACAGGCAAGTAGCCCCTGCTCTTGTAAGCATCAAGACCTTCTCATCCTTCCCCGGGGTTCATAAAACTATTCTGGTGGTGGGGAACAAACTTGAAGTCTACAAAGTCTTAACGGCAGAATTGGGCCTTAAACATCAGCTTTTTCAAGGTCTACCCTAGTGAATTCCCCAGAGCTCATCTCCCATCCTCATGTGGCTGTGTTGCCAGCTCTGAGAGAAGAGCACCCCTCTTTCTGAGCAGCTGTTTCCACTTTAGGTGTTCCTCGCCGAGCTGAAGAGCACAGACCAGTATTTCGCTGTGAAAGCCCTGAAGAAGGATGTGGTGCTGATGGATGATGACGTTGAATGTACGATGGTGGAGAAGAGAGTCCTCTCCTTAGCTTGGGAGCACCCATTCCTGACTCACGTCTTCTGTACGTTCCAGACCAAGGTAAGACAAGGATCTGTCACCTTCCTCCAGGGGCTGAGCAGGCTTTGCTGAGATATGGATACTTGGTGAAGTACTTAAGCCTGCTAGATGTTAGGGAATAGCTTGGACATGGGGTAGTGCTAAGGGAAGGGATCTTCACGTTAACCACTTGGGAAGTGGCTCTAGAAACTTCATCTACCTTCCCCACATTAACCTGGGGGGTGCATTTGAGGATTATGGTATCCAAGACTGATTGTGGTGGCTATGCAGAGACCCGCTATTAAAATCTGTGTCCTGGTACCCTGGGCTGAGGGTGTGCAAAGGCCACATCCACAGCCAGGGTGCAGATGTGCCCACAGTGGTGTTATCTGAACCTCTTGGACTATGAAGCAGTACCTTTATGCTGCAGTGACTAGCCTAGATCAGAGCTAACTCAGAAAAACTCTATAAAGAATAAACATGCTCTCGTTTACTTTAGGAATCTTCTTTTCCCCCCAGATACTGTTAAATTGCATCACTCTTCCTAATTCATGCAGGACCACTGGTGGTGAAGGCTGCAGTTCAGAGGCGCAGCACAAAGCATCTTCACCTGAAACCCTGCTTAGGACTCCAGTCCAAAACTGAAGTGACATTTAAGTAATGTATAAATCTTCAAGGACCTACATGGCAACTAATCACCAACTGATTAGCTTTCCAGAGCCTTTTCTACAGCCACAGCCAATTGTCTTAACACTAAAGCACACACAAGGCATAGAAAAAAAAATGATGGAAGGAAATTTGAGAGATTGTCTTGTCTGTCCGACCTACTCAAACCACTCCTGAGAGATTCTTGCTATCCCTGAGCTCAAATTCAGAGCAACATCACTCTCTCAAGGCTGCCTGTTCAGGGTTTTGTTAGGATGCTCCCAGTCCCTGCTCAGTCCCAGATTTTAATGACACAAAACACTGCTGGGTGTGAGGTTAGGGCCTGCTCAGCAAGAGGCTCACTGCTTCTGCAGGGTCAGGAGAAACAAATATAACCTCTGCGGTATATCCCAGTCACCCGTGGGATGTAGCACCTGTTTAAAGACAGATTAAATTTATAACAGGGAACATTTGGGAACTGCCATAGGCAATGTGACACTGAGCCCAGGCATTCATGTTTAACCCCTTCGGGACTGTCAGTTAGGACAGCGCGTCCTGGGGATGGATCCTTGCCTGGAGAGGAAAAGATTAATTCTCTTTTTGGGGGGGGGCTAGTTTTCAGAGGAAAATATAAGTGACCCAACTCCAGAAGCAAAGAAAATCAAGACTTAATTAAAATGACAAAATTTTCACAACAGTCAGCTCTACGAGGGAGCTTATACTTCAGGGAGAGCTGCTTGTGCTGTCTGTAAGTCCAGGTGCCCAAGGGCACGTTGACTGATGCCAGCGGTTGACTTGCATACAGCAGCAGAACCGTCTTGTCCATGGTCCAGCCTGGTCCAACCCTGGTCTAGGTCAGATTCAGGATGGATCCAGTGGCCGTCTGCAGCTTTGGTTGCAGGCAGTGCACGCATACAAGTGTTTGCTTCCCTCATGAGATGACAACAAAAAGATGAACAGACCAAATGGAGTCATGTCAGGAGCCAGATTGGATTTACTGGTCATTTAGTGGGGGGACTGTGCTTCCAGCTGTGGCTGAAGCATGGAAAACCTGCAGGATGGAAAAGCAATGAGTGCCTGAAAATAACATGGGTGCCATGCTCAAAAATCCAAGTGATCTATTCCTACACTCTCTTATAGGCGGCATCATAGTATTGTCCTCCTGATGTATAGAAAGCATCTCCATCCATCTCATCCCAAGTCAACATTGCCACTTTAATGTTATTTGGTCTCTCCATTTTGCCCTCAAGTTCCCAGATAGAGAAGCCGGAATGTGGCTGCCCAGGCCAAAGCCGCTCTGGGCGGTGATTGATTTCTAGCTTATGTTTTTCTCTTCTGACCTTTGGAAGCCAAACAGCGATCACGCAACACGTGAAAGTCATTCAGAGCAGGAGAGCTGTGACTTGCCTTGGGCAGTCTTTCACAGCTCAAAGGACAGCATGGTTCAGTCACAATATCTTTTGGAGCAATCATTTTAGAAGCCAGGGCACTGCTGTGTAGTCCCTCTCTGGACTTTAATATTGACAATTTTAATTTTCAATTGAAAAATTGAATTTTTTTTTTTTTGAGGTTTCACTGGATAGATAAGTAGTTTCAAACAGAAATGCGTGTGTCGATATGTTCTGAATCCCTGATGCTTTGAATCCTGAGGTTTCTGAGCTGCTTCAGGTACTGAGTGCCTCTGCAGAGGACAGTAAAACCAGGAATATTCCTACACTGAAACAAGAACCTCACTAGTCCCCATGTCTCCAGAGGGAAAAAAAAGTCATATAATCTGTTGACAGTTCTCTGAGCTCTGGGATGAGTTTCTTCCTGGCCTCAACCCAGGTAATCAGTGAATGCTGAAATACATAAAGCTTGACAGCCCTTCAGACAGGTTTTTGTAGGCGCCAGGCCCCTAATGCTCCTTTTTATTCCTGCGGAGGCTGAACAATCAGTGCTTTCGGAACTCAGAATACTTGTCATGTGTTGCTACATGATCACAAATTCAAGCACATGGGGTTTTTTTCCCAATCTGTTTTTGAACTTGACTGTTTTATTTTACTGCAGTAATCTTTGTATCCAGATATTCAGCTGACATAATTATATGGTGTGAATTTTAACAACAAGCTCAGAGAGCTATTCTGTTGTATTATGTTTAAGGGACACTGTTATGTTTAAGAGAAGGAAAAACATGTTTATAATTCCATGAAAACCCAAAATCAGTAATGCCAAAACAGTGACTAGCATCCGAGTGCTTATGTTTTATTCTTCTTTTTGCATTTCACTGATCTTCTGTGATAAAAATAGACTTTGCCTTTTCGAAAGTCATTTTTGTTTCTAACTGTTTCTTTGCTTCATTGGCCAAGTTTTTATTCACACCTTTTACCTAAATTCAAATTAAGTCTTGAGGCATTTTGGCTTGTAGCACAAAATAGCAACACAGAAGACTATCTCAACTCAAAAGAGAAGTAATCTTTATTGCAATTTAAAAGCAAATGTTACAGTAACTTTTTTTTCTGCTTTACTAATGTATTATATCTTTTCAAAGTCCTGGTGGTGAGCCATTTTCACATGCTCTGTTATTTTAATGTGCTTAATACTGACTTCAAAAATCTCTTACATTGGCAGGAAGGAAAAAAGGATTGTAAATAAGGAGTGTGATCCTAATTGAAAAATTCTTAGGCTCTGAGGTGTTTTCCATGAGTATTTTCAGGAAATTTCTCATTAAAATATCTCCTCCAAGGAAACTGCAATTCCTGCAAAATTTTTTGAAGGGCAATTTCAGTTTTCATGTATCTTTGCCTTGCTGTCAGAGGGACAGGGCTGAAATATTTGACCTGAATCAGAGCGTGTGGGTTGGCACATGTGCGTCTCACACCCGTTTGACGTTCGGCTCCACTGCCTGGTTGTGCCAAGGACCTTCTGAGCAGCCCTGGATCAGGCCCACATGCCCTCCCCAGGCAATGCAGGATCTTCTCTGACCACAGCACGGCTGCAGGGTGCCCATGCATTGCAGGAGAAGTCATCCTGCAGGGCGGCGAGGTTGCAAGCCTTGACTTCCAGCACTGCTGAACCACCGAAGCACAACAAAGTATTGGGCGGACTAAACCAAACACAGTGCGCTGGTCACAAAATGAGCATCCGAATTTTGGCGTTGATCAGGAAGGAAAGCTAAAGAAGACAGTACAGGGCAATGTAGTGATTTTTCCCTTGTATAAACCATCTTTTTCTCTTGTACAAACCATCCCATGCCTTAGTGTTCAGCCATTTGGGAAACACAATCTTGAAGCTACAAGGTTTTTAAGTCTCCATCCTCCTAGTATTTTTTGGGGGGAATACATCAGCTTGGAAACATCTGATTCAAGGCTACTTGGCCAAATTTGAACCAGCTGATGGGAAAGTTGGGGAAGAATTGGGAAGTTTAGGGAGGCTTTGAGGATTTTGCCTCTTGCAACCAGCAGGCAGGAAAACTGGCAAGGTCTTATTCAGTCCTGGCCAAAATTGCAACATGGTTCAGTAGAAATAGCAGCGTCTCAGAAGAGCTTTGGGATTTCAACAAGGTTCTGCCAGAGAAGGTGTGAGCAGCTGTAATTATAACATCAAAAATATGAAGTCTTTACAAGACATTTCTAGGTGGTGTCAGCCCATGTGGTGTGAACAGGTGGAGGGTATTGGCAAGGAAAATAGAGGCCCAGCTCACAAGCATGGGTTTTTAAATGATAGATGATCGACATATTCAATACACATATTCTAATTTGCTTTTTTGTTGTCCAGCTCTGAGAAAGATCAACTCATAATGCACTCAGCTTTTCCTGGGATTTCTAGAAGTCTGCAGTGTAGCTGCTCGGTTCTTTGGCCTGAAAAAAGTTGACTTCTTAAAATAAAAACATCAGGCTTTCCCCTATTTTTCAGCTGATACAATATTTAGGCTTCATAAAGTTGACCACTTCTTGTTTAGTTTTTGGTCTGGCAATTTTTTTTATCCTCTAATATTTACAGAAGTTTTTAATCCAGCCTTGAGAAAATTAGTCTCTTTCCAAGATCCCACCCAATAGTGGTAGGGGAAGCCACTTTCTGGGGCTGACAGCAACTCAGTTTACCGCTGTGAGTTACCACTCCGCCTGCTCTGAGCTGTGAGGAAGGGTCCTAGGACATCAGAACTCAAGTGAAATGAGCTATTGGCAGCCATGTCTGCACTTTTATGTATACATATGTATTTTTATACTTGTGTATAAAAATATTCATACGCTTAGTACCAAGTAGATGGGCACACAAAGCTAAGCATCCCAAATGAGCAGTTCAACGTGCAGTCAAAAATGCTGACAGTGCAAAGATTAGAATGAAAAATAAAGCATGAGATCAGGGACTGGACTGAATTATTTGACAGCTGTAAGAAATGCTGCCATCTCCAGAAGATAAACCGATATTACACAAGAGGGGAAAAAAAAAAAAGTCTTCAAACCAGAGAACAAAATTAAAGCTGGGCTTGCTTTAATCTGTAACAAACAGGCTTTGCTCATCCCCAGATGGTGCAAATAGCAACGTTAATACCTCGTATGGTCCCCTACTAGCAAGGAGTGATCCTGCATTAGCTGTTCCTCGTGGGAGCAGACACAGTGAGGAGTGTGTGTGTTCATTGCTTTCCCGCTGGATGGGATGCTCTGATGGGGCTGCAACACTCAGAGGGTGGTGTGGTGGAGAAGGGCTGAGAGGACTTTGGCCCCATCTATCCCATGAAATAAAATAGATCTGAAGCACGGATGAGCACTCAGACTGGACCGAGTTTTGTCTCACATTTTGTGAGACAAGAATCAGCTGCAGGAATTGCACGGTGTTAAACCTTTCACTTGGCAAGGGCCAACCTAATTCGATGGGTGTGCAGTAGGGTTAGGTCACTTAATCTGCATTGAGGAGCCTTCTCCACCTGCAGATATTTTTTAGGGTAATTGCTCTAAATAAGGGTAAAGCCATACTATCCTGCAGCATTAATTATTCTGATATTCATCCTCCTGGAAGCCCTGGGAAGAAGAATTTTTGCTCTTCAGTAAATGGTGTTAAATTGTGTATTTGTATGTATGCAAGTGCTTTCAAATGCGAAGAAAACAAAATCTGAAAATCTCTGCAGAAAAGTGCTCTGGAGGGCTTCCAGCTGGTTTGAGAATTTTAAGAGCCTGTTATAGGATGTACCTTCAAAAGATCAATTTAAATACTGCCTGCTTTATACTCATTGTTTATAAAGTTGAAAGCATCTCTGATAGTGACTATTCATTCTCACAGCAGTTGCAGGCAGAACAGAAGCAGGTTGGTTTAACCCCATCCCTGCCATGTCCTGGAGAGGCAGAGGGAGCAGGTGCCTCTGCAGAGAGGAGCCCAGGCACTGAGGGACTGATGGGGCAAGAAATCGAGTTCTTGCAGTAATGGGGATTGACCCGACTAGGGTTGTACAACGTCATGTTTATACTTCTGTCTGCTGTAGGAGCAGCATTTCATCCTCCCGCAGAGGGGTTTGTCACGTTCCCTCTGCTGCAATGGAGAAAGCCTCTGGAAGATGATCTGGAAGTAGGGAATGGCTATTATATGGATGTCCTCAAGACAACTAGTGCCAACTATCCTGGGGCAGTGTCCATCGCTGAGTGCAGGAAATGCCTTTACAGTCCTCCTTGAGCTCTGTGGTTGTAAAAGATGGCCCCACACTCTGCCATGAGACCAGACTTGTTCTGTTCCGTTGTGTGAGTCTGGACCCGTGACCAGAAGTTTGGCTGAGGATTTACTACCCGAGGATGCTCTCACATGCGGTCAGCAAGTCGTCTGTCATCTGTCTGCAAGGCAGACAGGTAGGGTGAAGGTGAGGGGCTCTTCCCAAGCCTCCTTCAGAGCTCTGTAGGTCTCGACACCGAGGAACAGCATTCCTGGATTTTTGCTTAACATCCCTGAGCTAGGACCATTGCAGGGGATAAAGGCATGGCAAAGTCATGCCATCCCAGCTGCCATGTCTTCAGAAACACCCGCTTAACCTACTCTCACCTGCTCCAGGTACTGACAGACTTCAGAGCCTGGTAGTAGCAGACAGGAGCCATCAGATAACTTTTCCAGGACAAGAGGAAGAGTAGGTTGGAGCCTGTCTGCAAACATGCCCTCCGTGACATTCTAACCTTTTAATGTCTAGCACACTGTTGAATTTTTGGTGATTTCAAGCACAGGTTTTGCCACTTCTCATTTTTAATGGGTTCTGTGGCTGTGTAGATCTCAGGCTTGGAAGCTGTCTCCAATAATTCATTGCAGCTTGCACTGCTTAGTTACATCTTGCTACTCATAATTATGTACTTAGGGCTGATCTCAAGCAATTTTTCTCCATGGGCTGTTCCAGACAACTGACCTTTGTAAGAAGCAAGGGGAACTTCCAAGTCTTGGAGCAGAAAACTCAGAGTGATGCCATCTTTCTTTTCAACAGTATTTCTGTACCACTCTGTCGCACCTGGTAGACAATGAACTTCAGTATTAATCATGCCTAAGTCAAGTTTGTAGTCTTCAGCTTCATAGCTTTAGACAGTTGAGGAACTGAGTGCATATAATGATCTTTGGATGCCAATTAATCTGAGGGGTTGTCCACCTTTTCTTTCCTCAGATGGCAGAAGGATGCTGCCAAAGTCCCCAGTTTCAAGTTAGAGTCCCCAGTTCAATTAAACAGGTCCATCAGATGGTTGCTCAAATCCACGAGCAAGCAGAGCACGACAGCTAAATAAATGTGGACTTCAAGTTATGCTTAAAGGTGTGTGATAAGGTGTAGCCCAACTCAGTGGACTTTTCAGGGAAACCCAGGGGTTTTCTCCTTCCCAGTCCACTGAAGCTGAGTCTGGCCCATGTGAAAACCCAGGAGTTTTCTTCTGTCGCTGTGTGATACATGCGGCTGCGGGTCTGTTGTTAACTAAACCTCATCACATCCCTGTGCACCTTCACAAAGAGCATCTGTTCAAGTGTTTTCCTGAACGGGCTCCTGAGCTCACATTGCTTCCAAGATCTATGCATTTCTATACTGAATTGCCCATCTCCATTTGGCCGCCTTACTTGCTTAAACTGACTGATGCGCACAGATGTCTACAGATGCAAGGCCTTCAAAAACTGAAAACCCGCACCCATTTGGTTTATTGGCAAAATTTGTATTCTTTCCCTGGGAGGCCAGATCTGGCCCGGTGCTTGTTGCATGACAGGTGGGCTTTCCAGCCAGACATCCATTTAAATAAGACTACTGTAATTAAAAGGATCTGGCTAAAGAAATTGCACAAATTAGAGCAGACAGCTGTTATCTGAAAGGAACAAACACTGTTGTTTTTTTAAATAGTCAGATCTTGGCTTGCTGCCAGAGATGCTTACATTAGATCTTATGGATAAAAATCTGCCTTTGACTGTTAAAAATATAAGTGAAAAGAACTCTATTTCCCCTCCCCCAAAAAACTGATGGGCAATATGCAACAAAGGGAAGATATTCATAAACTTTAACATAGCCTGGAGGTGACTAACTTCAGATGTGTACAGAACAGAGAGAGGCTTTTGAGAAAAAAAAGTACTGCATCCATCTTATTTTATCCATGCATTTATCTACAAAAGCCGAGATTCCTGAAACAGAAGTTTAAACTGGGAGCATAACTTATTGCACAGATGATACTCTTCTTGCAGAAAAAGGCATCCGTCCTGCTTTGTAGGTGCAATTCAGTGTGGAAGGAATTGGTCTGAATCAGCCTCTAGCTTCTGGGGGGGCCTGGTGGTATATCAAGGATTGGAAAGGAAACTTTGATGATCTGTTCTGCTCTTTATTCAATACAGAGATTCCCCCCATCTTCCTGCGTACCAGGAGGAGAGTTTTCCACTGCCTTCATAGAATGGCTGATGGTTGCATGCAACTGGGGACAAAGACTGGATCTTTTTTCCAGTCTTCTCTGACATGCAAGCACTCAGTGGGCATCCAGAAATATGACTAATTTATGAATCTTCCCCCTAGCAAGTTACATCCTACCTTATTTAATAGAGCAGCTCCTAGGCTTAATATCAAGCATGTGCTTAGAAGAGGTTGCAGCATCTGGCCAGTGTCTCTGATAACTTGAAAAGATCGGACCCATGTGCGTCCACAAAAGATGTGCAGCAATGCAGGTAACACCAGCTTGAGATCACTCCACTGGATGGATAATACACTGGGAACCAGAGGAGACCTGGGATTTACTTCTGCCTCTTCCACTAGTCTCCCAGGAAGCTTGTCCATCTGTCCTTCTGTTATGCAGGCACTGTAGAATTACTCATCCCCTTCTACTGAGCCTTGAGGTCTGCTGGTAAAAATCAATTGCACCAGCTGGTTATTAAGTGGATTTGCAATGTTTGCTAATGCTGTTTGTATAAATCAGGGCAGAGGGGCTGAGTATGGACTTGGAAAACAAAGAGGAGAAATGAGGAATCTGAAAAAGAAACTGCTTTCTTTCCAAAATCCTCACTGTAATCTTTTCCTTCCTCTTTTTGAGTGCTTTCTGGGCTGGTTTTTGGTTTGGGTTTTGTTTTTTTTTACTTTTATCTAACCCTTCCCCACCCCTTATTGTCACCTTGTCTCATTTTCTAGGAAAACCTCTTTTTTGTGATGGAATACCTCAATGGAGGAGACCTCATGTTCCATATACAGAGTTGTCATAAGTTCGACCTTCCCAGAGCAACGTAAGATGTTCTTATTACTTTTTGGCTTGCAGATCGCACACATGGTAGAAGCAAAGGCAGCAGCTGCAGACGCCAGAGATCTTGATTTTATTCCCACCTCTTCTACTGTCCTGTAGAGGAAACCCTGGGCAAATCATTTGACCTCTCTGCACCTTACCCAACTGCAAAGTGGGGATAATGCCTGTGCTGGAAGCAGAATCACTCTCTAGCCCAGCTCTCTCCAAACTGAACAAAACAGACATCAGCCCAACTCAACGATGGACTTGAAGCAAGTCACTTCCTCTCCCTGTCCTCTTTCCCCTCCCACAGAAGGCTTTTTAAAGCCCATCCACACAGCTGATTTCAGTCAGACGTGACCTTGCTTTGCATTCTTGGTCAACCAGGGAAGCTATTTCTGTCTGGAAGCATTACAGATGCTTCTACACCCTCGTCAGCATTGCCTCTGCCTACAGGCTTATCCTTTAGCCTGCAAACCAGGGACCTCCTTCTAGCCTGTGACCTGGCTCCCGTATTTTGCGCTAGCCTCAGCATAGTCCCACAAACATTTGTTCAGAGCCGAGAGCTGAGCTGGATAGAAGCTGTCCCTTAAGCTGCCCTGCTTGCTGAATTAGTCCCCTTCCCAGGACTGAAGTCCCTGAAACAGAGAGAGGCTCCAGAGGGACCATTCAACCCAGCTGAGACCCTTCCTCTGGAAGTGCCTCCACTGTCTATAAACAGCCCCAAGCACGCCTAAGATCTTATTTACATGGCCCATGCATGAGGGTCATGTTAAAGCAACCTACAGGTGTCTGCTGTGGATTACAGCAGCCCTGGGGTTGCTCTTTGTTGCACTCATTGAGTTCTTGCTCAGCCCGTAATTGGAGGCCCCAATAACGACATCGTGGACCCAACCTCCACCCCAGATTTACCGCCTTCAAAGAAATCCCACGGATGCATTTTCAGCCATCTGTGGAACCAAATATCTTGTTCTTTACAACACTGAGTGGCCTGTAGCCAAGCTGCAGGACGTGCACAAGCTGAGGTTCCCGGTCCAGTGATCAGAGGTGAAGCTGTTGTTTGTTAGAAGTAATGAGATTTTCCCTTTTTCCTTTTAAGGTTCGGGGGGTGGGGGGGAAGAGAGAAAACCTATCAAAAGTGCAAAAGGTAAATTTAAATAAAAAATTAATACACCATCAGGGAGTTAAAAATTTATTTCACTTTGATTAAAGTAAATAGATGAATTAGAATAAATGAAAGGTGCTTCTAATCCTTCTGTGAGTAAAAGGTATTTTAAAAGTCAATATTGAAACTACTATCGGAATTAATTTTTACTTAATAATTAAAAAAAAACCCAGCAAACCCTCATTTATATCAGTGTTTAATTTGATGATTTATTCGAAAGCATTTAAATGTTCAGAATTAAGGGCCAATGCATTGAAGACTGAGGGAGCAGAGCTGTGCAACACCGGAGGGGCTTACGATCCTGCAGTTACTTTCTCTTCTGGGAGAGCACTCTCATTGTGAATGGTGCTTCAGCCTTATGCTGCCTCTTTCCAGCAGAACGTGGTGGTGTCCTTTAGGCAGCACTGTGTTGAGAGCAAAGATCTCAAACTCGAAAAGGCTCCAGAGAAAGGCCACTGAGCTGCTAGCTAGTTCATACCTTGGGGAAAATTTCAAAAGCAAGGCATAAATCCGAGCAGTGGTCTGTTTGACAAGCCAAGGAGACTGTCTGTGGTCCCCAAACCCCGATGCCCACCTGCCTGTCCCCTTGCCGGGACGGCTCCACTCTTTGTGCAGCAGCTACCGAACATGGCAAATTATAGCTGCTCTTTTGAGGTCTGAGGCATTAACTGTAATTTGCAGTTTGCAGTCTGGCGCCTCACTGTAAATTATTGATTTGCTTTAAATATGTAAATAAGGGAGAGGCACGGATACCAGCCGGTCTGCCTTCTTTGCGACAGGGACCATATCTTGAGGTGAGGCAGGGTAGGCAGTAGGAGCTGGGTGGTGGTTTTTTTGCTCCACAGCTGATCTGGAGACATCCTTGGGCACTGAAGGACATGTCCTCAGAGTCAGTCACATATTAAAAAAAAAAAAATGCAGCTAGCCATGCAGCGTGGCTTCTAAATCCCTGAAGATGAGTAGGCTCCAAATCCCTACCGTTTTGCAAAGCGGGAGTTGGGCTGCTAGCCATGTGGCTTGCTTTTTGGGAATCTCACATCATCCATCAGTTACCTGTAAGACTCAGTTACCCCAAGCCTTCTGGGAACTTAAGGAAATTCTGGCCTCTGTGGAGACAAAGTTTCCATCTTTTGGGGTCTAGTTGAAAGCGCCGTTCTAACTTGCATCCGTTCTAACTTGCACCTTCTGTCACTCAGGTTTTATGCTGCTGAAATCATATGCGGGCTCCAGTTCCTCCATTCCAAGGGCATAATATACAGGTAATTTTACTGTACAGTATCTAATATGCTAAACCTTTTCTGCTTTCCCTGCAAGCACTAATGGTAACCGAGAGACTGTTGCTTGGATATACTTACTGGTATTGCATTTCAATGCAGATTTCCTTTTTACAGAGTCTGGCTGTTTTATTTGGAAGAGATAGTGTAGAAAAGGCAGTTTTGAGACCTTTTTGAGAATCCAGTCCTATTTCAGTTAACATTAAAACAAGCCCTTTGATGCATTACACTCAGTCGTTCATACAGCACCCAGCATAGGCACCCAGTTTAAGCTTTCCATGTATGAGGGTATATTGTGCTTTAGACCTATATAAAAGGACAGAGACAAGATGGGAGCAAGAAGGGCTGTAGAAATCAGGCCACAGTCTGCTTTCCCATGACCAAAAGGAGGAACTGAATTTCTGGGGAGCTCTAGTCCAGCTCATTTTCATGGCAAAGTTAGTTACTACATTGCAGCTTTCTGTAAAAGCAGGAAGCAAATAGCTTGTCACAAACAAATGAGAAAGCTCACTAAAGCAACAGTGTTTGCTGAAACCAAAATGAGCTTATTTCAATGTTTGCCATGCAGTGTGAACATTAGAACAAATGCTAAAAGTGAATGGCTTGTTTACAATCCACTCTTCCATTAAAATGCAAGCTTTGGTTCATATAAACTCTCCTTATTATTAATTACTAGTACTCTTGTGGGAGCCATTTATAGTCTTTATTGACCAAAGACGGTGACTGCGTAAACATGGGATCAATATCAATGACATAAAGCTAAGATGATCTCTGGGGTCTCAGCAAGTTTCTGGCTCTAATTATTGTTCTGGATGACTGAAAGGAAACATTTTCTGAAGTGCCCATATCACTTAGCCATGTCTTCATTTTTACTCAGACTTCTCAGAAAAGCTGATTAAAAATATCTGCAGGATATTGTGACTTTGTGGCAGGACTGTTAATGGTGACATTTTGTTTATAATTTATATTTTTATTTGGAATTTCTACACCAGTGGTGTGTCAGGTTTTGGGACCTGCTTCCTTATGAAAGGAAAGAGAGGTTTAGAATCTGGAGCCTTGGGAGATGTAGGCAAATTGAGATAGCTAGACATCGGGGACAGGAAGAAATAGCTCATTCCCAGGAGTCTGTGCAGCATTTCTTTGGATACCAAGCTTGGAGAGAAAAGATTTAACCAGTCCTACCCCTTTTTCCTTTTTTTATTGAAGACAATGACAACGAGGTCAGTTGAGAACGCACAGCCATCAGCATCTCAGTCAGAGCTAACTAAGCATTTAGGAAAGTGAATAGAAATCATTTTTGAAACTACATCACTTGTGATGTAGTAAGAATAATGAATCCAGCTGTTCTGTCTCATGCACCCACGTTTGGAAATGTTGGCTTAAATTTTAATGAATGAGCAGAGGCGTTTTTGGCAGAAACTCCAATCCCTGAAGCCAATGAGTTTGAGACTCATCAAAATAATGAAAGCGAACTGTAGGTGATGGGCTTTTTGTTTTGCTTCGATCTACCAGATGAATAAAAGCGGTGCTGGCAGCCAGAGATTGATCTCAATGGTGTAACTAAAATAAGTCATTCCAGCTGGAAATTGTGACAACATGAGTGTCTGCCACTTGGAAGGCAAATGTCTCGGTTGTCTCTATATTTCTTTTTGATTGATGACTCCCACTTTTTCTTGGGCCATATTCTAGCAGCAATGAACAATTTCCCCATGACAACAATTTAGCATGTAGACACTGGGAGGTCCCCCCACCCTGACTGGGACCTGGCCGAACCAAGACAAGGAGCTTTGCATAGAGGGAGGCTGAACAGCCATCTTTCCTGCAATTGTCGGCGATTATCTCGGGAACATCATGCATTAGAAATACCTTCTTTGAGGGAGTCAGAGCCATTTCTGAAAAAACCACATTGTAAAAGAGTTGTCACTGGGAGGGTAGCTATATTGCAGCCTCATGGTTAGGACTTTTGCCTGAGATGTGGAAAAAATATGTAGGCTGTGAAGCAGTAGAGGTTGGAAAAGACCAATTTTATCCTCAGCTGTGGACACAAGAAAATGTTGTGTCTGGGTGCTTTGGGAGCCCTGAGAAGGAACAGTGAATGATAGCACAGGATAGGCAGTGCAGGAACATGGGTGCTCTGAGACCAGGTAACCCAAATTCTACCTACATCCCAGGTGAAGTGCAGCATCACTGATCCAAACATCTCCCTGAGTCATTATTTCAATGAAAAGCAAAAGCTTTAGGTAAGATATTAAAAAAATTAACAAAGAAGCCATGCCAGCCTTTCTTTCTTTCCTTTTTCTTTCCTTCTCTATATATTTTCCTCTACTTTCAGACGTTGTTCCCACGTGAAGACTTCATTGTTCTCCATCAATGGCCATGATTCATCAGCTCACTCGCTTTTATTTCCTTCTCTATGCATTTCCTTTTATTCTCTCTCTGGGCTCTTTCCTTCCCATAGTAGCTCAGAGCCTGAAACCTCTGACAACATCTTGGCAGCTGTGTGTGAAGGGCTTTGTAAATCCCCAGGGCTCAAACAGTGCAGCCCAGCAGTGAAAAAGTGGTGGGTGTTCTGCTGATGTCTGGGATTATTCTGACCCTCTGCAAGCCATGCAGGGATTGCGGGTCCTTACATCTTCCAACATTTGTAGAGCCTGCACTGGGAGGGACATCTGGCAGAAGCTTCAGAGAGAGTACTGAGACTCCTAGAGAAGGAAAAAGTGAGCATTAGTTGGTCCCTTCTTGCTCACCTGCTCCAGGCTGTGTTAGGGCAGGAGTGAAGCCCTTTCTAGCTTCACTATTCTGCATCCTCGAAGGAGGCAGCTTTTAGAAGATGCCTTGGATAAATTCTTCTCCAGCAAATGAATCAGTGCTGGGACAGGAGGAATGAAGAAGAGGGATATTGAAGTCTAAGAGAGCAGCTCCTCATTTGGCCCTCAACTTTCCTTTGTAATTGCAACATGTAGGCACTACACAGAGGCAGCTAGCAAGTTAATAAGTGTAACCTGCTGAAATAACTTTTGTGGCTCTTCAACACTTTAAAGAAGGGGTTTCCTTCTCTTCCTCCACAGAGACTTGAAGCTAGACAACGTCCTCTTGGACAATGAGGGGCATATCAAAATTGCTGACTTTGGGATGTGCAAGGAGAACATGTTTGGGGATGCGAAGACAAGTACTTTCTGTGGGACTCCTGACTATATCGCTCCTGAGGTAGGTGTGGAGTCCAGGGAGTTCAGCATGCTTCTGTTGGAGAGAAAACATGTCTTAAGACATGACTGTCAGTCAGTGGTGGAGAGTGCAAAGAGTAATAACCTGCTTTTGAATAGTTCCAGGCTAGAAACTGGATTTCAGTTTGACTCAGAGTCGGCGTTGCTGTCTGGCATTGCCTATTTTTGTGGCTAACTCATTTTTTTGTGCAAATGGGCCTGGGAAGAAAGTGGTGCTTGGCTTAACCAAGTAACAGAATGCCTACTGAAAATCCAGTTTGAGCCATGGCAGAAGAAGCACCAAGAGGTAGGTCTGCAATTCAGGGACAGAAACAGCACGAGGAATGGGAAGCATGTTCCCTAGCTAGCTAACAGTAGGCTTCTATGGCTGTACAGGCTCCTTCATAGCTGGTAGGGAGCTATGGGCGCTTCTAAGTGATGATGTTCATCACAACCTGAGTGAGAAAATAGAGAAATGTGAGACAAAATGCCCACCTGGAGGTGATTCTCCCTCCTCATTGATTAACCACCCTTTAGATAGAGAAGAGAGGCTGGATCCACTATAAAGCAGAGATGGGGGTTTACCTTCCCTCTGGGATAAGCTCTGATGCTTGAATAGGGATGGCACCCATAAACTTGGACTTCTCCCTTACTCAGACAGGTTCTTAGCTGGCTGCAAACACAGCCTGCATCATGAGCATCCTCCCAGAGCTGAATAAGGCACTATATGCTCTGAAAAGGCTCTGCCATCAGAGGCATAACCTTAAAACTGAGCACAGGCTTGAAGGTCTGTAAAGATAAAAAACAACCAATAGCTGCTTGTAAAAGGGGTGGAGATGCTTGGAGACATAAACAAGAGAGCGGTCATACATCCTGATTTTCACCCTCGAAATGCCAGCAGTCAGAGGAGAGGTGTTGCTCTCTGGAGGACAACTGGGACCTGACCTGCTAACTAGGCTCTGGACTACCTGCTTCTCTGCTTTGGCTGTGCAAGGTGCCAGAGCATCTCACGTCACTGCATGAATCCCATCCCTGGAGGACATGCCTCCAAGGAGGCTCTAAAACTAGAGACGATGGAGTTGTATCAGGGCCAGGATTTGCTTGAGCTGACAAGGGCAAGGCAGAGATTGTAGCTCATGCTGAGGTCCTGCTCTGTCCCCTTGACTCAGGAAGGCTGGGGCTTGCATGGAGGCAGTCTCCAAGCTCCATGCAAAAATATATCAACAGTTCCTCTTCTCCTTCTGCAGTTGATATCTGCTGATACTTGGTGGAGAAAAGCTGAACCTGGCCTCTATGTGCCCATGCAATAAAACTGGGTCATCACAGACCCCAGACTCCAGCTTGCCCATAGCGAGATCCTTAGCCCTTCCCCTTATTTCTTTCCATTTTTTCCCCAGACAGAAACTTGTGGGGGGATTTGGGTTTGGGGGTTTTTTGGTAAATTTAGATATTTTGGACCAGATATCTCCAGAAAAGAGAAAGCTCCCTTAACCTGGTGACTTCACACAATGAGAGATCTTACTATGGAGACGCTTTGACTAATTAGGTGGCAAATTGAGGCCAAAGAAAACATTTTTCAGCTCAGAGAAGAACCTACGAGTCATCCATGCATCATGTCCAACATCACTCTAAAATCCATTTATTTGCCTTTCAAGATCCCATTTCCTGATTTTAGTGTTTCCATGATGGATATTGGTACTTTCCAAATAGCTTTTAAAGCTTTTGGTTTTTTCCCCTCCACTATAATTCATTGATCTTTTACTGTGCACCAAGGGCTCAATTCTGATCTAGGTTACACCACTGCTGACACAAGGGCTGGTCTCTTCAAATCAATTGGATTTGTATTGCCTAAAAGCAGGTGTAAGTGTGCTCTGCAATCAAGCCACAATTGTCTTTTATTCCACTTCAATATGCTTTTACTTAAAAAAAAAAAAAGCTATTTTCTGATCCTAAAAAAAGAGCCAAGTAATAATCCATTATCTGTGATTTTACTTCATAGAAAAGAGAAAGACTAAAATAGCTCAGAGTTTTATTTCTGCACCATCATTTATTTTAGAGATTCAATGAGTGCATATAAAGCATTTTACCTCTAAATTGAAAGCACTGCTAGAGTTTATGGATCATCTCTCCTGCCAGAGGCAGGAGCACTGGACTTTTTGTCAGTATTTCAATGCAGCTTCTAGCACTGTAATTTGTTACAGACCCAGAACCTTGGCTACAGCTGTGTAAATAAGGGGGCTTTGGGTCAGCAGACAAGCAATTTTTTTATTTTGAAAAATATTTGACAAAAAAAAAAAAATCCTTAACCTGAAATGAAATTGCTGAGTTTATTTATTTTTTCCAGAGAATTGCAAAGCTAATAAATCTTTTCTTTGACTGTCATAAAACATTTAATTTTAATTTCCAGACATTTTGTACTTTAAGAGGTAAAGCCTTATAAAAATAATGTGTCTTTTCAGAAGGAAAGGTTGGGATGATTTTGTTTATAAGTGATCCAGAAGAAATATATTACAAAGTCTTGCTGATTCCTTTTTTTTTTTTTTGCTCTGAGTGTATATATTGCATCTTATATTCAAATAGCTTTTTTGTCCTTTTTTTACCTCCTCTTTTGGCATTTTTGGAGACAAGGGTGTTACTCATAAGCATTCTACATCAGCTTGGGTTTAGACTTCTGATATTAAGGTCCTGCTTTGCTAGATGCCACAGGTACATCAGAGGAGAATTAATCTAAAAATGAGGCATTAGATGGCACTTTATAGTGTTGTAGAAAGACAAGCATCCCAGAAGACAAGTCATCCCTTCCTATCTTAGGTGTGTAAGTCAGTTAAATTGCCATTTTCCCTCCATCGACGATGGAAAGACGCTGGATAACTAAATTAATAAGACACATAACTTTTAGGCAATAAGATGAATCTGGGCCCAAGGGACAATTTACAAGCAATGAAGCCAAGGTATGAAAACAGTCAAGAAATTACTCACCTACTTCCACTGTACCTCAGAGCCAGCAGTAAAGATCACCTCTCCAAATCATAATGTTTCAACTATCGTAGTTTCATATGTACTGATCCTGATAGCTGTTTTCACTGGTATTAAGCCATCTCCAGTGCTTGTCATTGATACCTACACCATGGCTATAGTATAAGGGATCACACTGCAACCAAGCTGTGGGCTCAAGCGTGAAGATTGTGCCTTAAAATGAACTATTCCCCTCTCCAGCTCTAAAATTCTGATAAGGATCCTGGACATCATAGTCATCACATGTACCTTTAGACATCTGCAATGTAAATATCTGTGTGTGAGCAAGTTGTCTAGACTCCTTGATATCCAAAGGAGACAAATAGGGGGGTTGTATTTTACAGCAGGCAGATATTTAGCTGGATGTCTAAAATTGGACTGATTCTCTTCCTTGACTATAAAAGGTGGTAATGATAACTGGTTCAGCTCTGTGTATCTCCATAACAGATATCTAAAGGCAGGTGAGATTAATTTTGCTTCCCCAGAGGGGAAGTTTGAGAACTTGGTGGTGTCTGGCCACCAGGAAAGGCCACATCCCTTCTTAGGGGAGGTCATCTCTCCTGGTGAGCCCCCCGGCCACAACACACTGGATATAGCCTTCACTTTGTTGCTGACACAGAAAGGCACAAACCAATGGACTGACTGAGGGACAAATGCCCATTTGTCTACCTATAACTCAGTTGGTCTCAAGAGGACAGATCAGCAACCGCTTTCTCATGTTTTTCCTGGGGCAGATTTTGCTGGGATAGATTCCCACCATTTCTACTGACTGAGAGTCCTAAAGTACCCCTACACTGCCACACTTGTAATTTTAAAATACAAGCTTGTGTGAGTTAAATCAGTCCCAAAATGCTAATGCCTGACCATTTGTCTTCTTGGACTTCACAAGCCTGATTTGAACCCTTTGGATAACTTGGAGAGCAGGCAGAAGATGACTTGCCTCACTTTTTATGTTAGAGATCTCTCTGGTAGGCAAAGATTTGTTCGAGTAACTTAAGAGTTACATGCAACCTGTTATCTGTAGTGTGAAGGACTGTTTTGGCACCCAGGTGAGGCTGAGACTTGGAGCCCCTCGAACCCCAGCCTCTGCACCCCTGGCAGATGCTCTGGTTCGTGCTGCAGGCAGGGGGAAGCATCTCTGCTATCCCACTCAGTGCCAAGCGGTTGTTGGAAGGTCAGGGTCTGGCCAACCTTTCTGAAGTTGAAATAATCACGTCAGACATTTTGCATCTGTCTTTTGTCACTCCTCTCTTTGGGCAGATCTTGCTGGGGCAGAAGTACAACACCTCCGTTGACTGGTGGTCCTTTGGTGTCCTCCTGTATGAGATGCTTATTGGCCAGTCTCCTTTCCATGGCCAAGATGAAGAGGAGCTTTTCCAGTCTATCCGTATGGATAACCCATTCTACCCTCGCTGGCTTGACAAGGATGCCAAGGACATTTTGGTGAAGGTAAGAAATACCACACATCGAAATAAAGTCTTTTTGCCAGAACTGTCATCTTTGATTTGTTCGCCTTCAGCTGTTGTTCAGAGAAACAAACTTAGTGTGACAGGACCAGAGAGAGTCACTTTCTTGTCTGTGGACCTCAAAGCATGCCTGACCTAAGTCATAAGGCCATCTTTGTGTCTTCTTTCTCCTGAGTTGTGATGATGGCTCCTCACATCCACAAGCAGTATCACAGGGTATCAGATACCAGCAGAGATAAGTTTCTTTGCAGAGCAATCCCTAAGGTGCAAGGCAAGTTAACTCCTGAAAAAGATACTCTGCCAGGCTTCAAACTAAGGGTTACAGTGACATCCTCAATAATTATGGCATTGAAGAAGTTCTTGTGCCTCAGAGATACGAGGACATCTAGGGTATATTGCTTTGGTGTTCAGCTTGATTTTTGGTAGAGAATATTTTGCATCTTTGCACTGAGCTAAAGAGCAGGAAAACAAAGCCTGTGTCCTGAAGTGGCAGAGCTACTCAAGCTAGTAGCACCAAGTCATCTGGATTTTTGGCCCTTTGAATCTCCTACATAGGAATGCATATTGTCCTTCCTGAGTGGAGCACACTTCTGTTTCCCCCTAATGGGCATCCTCCTCATCTTTTAGGTTCCTGTCCATTAATACACTGATTTTTTCATTGCCTCCTTCTCAGCCCCATGCCATTTATCATTGTAGCCTTTCTGGCTTGGGATGCAAATTATTCTGGAGTTGCAAGATAAAAATGCAATCAAATCGCGACTAGTCTAACAAGTTACCTCCCCTCAGTTGGGCTTTGGACTGTTGAACATGATCTGTAAGCTAAGGCATTTTAACTCGAGATGGAGCATGGTAAGTGAGCATGTACAGAGGCTTATAATGGCTCAGCTGATGTGAGGTAACTTCTTCATCACAAGATTTTGGTCATATTTGACCTACAGTCCCTACCTTGACTTTTGCATTTACTAAGCAAGAGGACAACACACAGCGTTCCACTACCAAAAAAAAAAAAGGAGAACAGGAGATAATTTTAGCATCTGTGCTGTGCACAGCAGGGCTCAGATGTTTAGGTATCACTATAAAATGATAATAATGAAAACAATCAAAAGCAGTTGTTCAGGAAGACATACCGTAGCAGACTGAGATTTTGAACTTCTATTTCTGGGACATACACTGCCATCTTTCTGCACAAACCTGTACTTCTGTCAGGATTAGAGGTAGTAATCTTCTTTATACCAATCAATAAACTTCCTTGCTTAGTAAAAAACCCATTTTCTCCATTATGAGCTACTGTCATTACCACTGACTCTGGATAATTACTTATTCCACCCTGCTTACCGCCTGTATTATCAGCACAGAATTTAATGTACAGAGTCTGCACTGCTGAGTAATCAGTTGCCTGTAGGACACTTCAGTTTTGGTGAGGCTTTGCCCACAGTGTTCACCAAAACTCAATGCCTGGGGTTTTTTCAAACAGGCCCTCAATGGTCCATACATCTGATTATTTTGCTGCCACTTTTGGCATTAGATATTTCTATTAGTTCTTTGCTGAATGGTATCTATTGTATGCTCTGGATAACTGAATTAATAGTTTGCTGTTGGCCAAATAGCATAGCAAGAAACTTCTACCATATGTAACCCAAGTCCATTTTGAGGTGACCTTCAACAATAAAGTGCTTTTGAAATTTTGCCCTTACCTCTGGAGTAGGAAATACTGGCTGTATTCAGGTCACCTTCTATCAAGTGTTGCCACTATTCCTCTCCGTCGACGTTAGAGGGATCTAGGATCTGGTTCTTTATGGGCCAGCTGGCCTGGAGGCCCCAGACATTTTGCTGCAGATATAAAGATGAGTTTTAAACTATTCACACACAGCAATACTTCAGCAGTACCTCCTGCTCACAAACCATGAGAGGAGCTCTGAAGCATTTAGCGCTCCTGAAACTCTCCCCCAGGAATACTTCAGCTGCTTCCAGAGCCAAATGGCTCCTGCATCACCATAAAAACATCTATTACAGAACAGGTTGTGTTTACACTAAACTGAAGAGTGGGCTTAGACCTGCATGTAGGTGATGGTGAAAAATTATGCCACCACTTCTGTCTTCAGCAGAATTAGTCATCCGCAGGACTTGTAGCCTGCAGTGTGCAGCAAACACAAGCTATCTGAATGGGGAGTCGTCTTTTGACAAAGTAGATGGTTGTCAGCATCTGAGCTAGTGAGTGGAGAGAAGCGAGCACTTCCAGAGTGTCTTTTATCTCATCTTTAAGTGTGTAAAGGAGGTCAGGTTATTTGCACCTAAGATGACTGTTTTTCTCTATTAATTATAAAGGGTCAAATACTGACACTCCAAGTGTCCAAAAGTATAGGAGATGAATGCAACTCCATATAGTCTAGGCTAGTATTTTCACAAATTATGCTTATATTTCAACCATAAAAATTTTCTGATAAGAAGAAATTGTCCAGACAAAAGCTTACAAGTGCAATCCAGATATTTCACCTGTGTAGTTGCATATTTGCATGCTCAGACACATATGTTGTTGTCACTGTAGCAAATTGTCCTCTCTCTCCTGCAAAGGAAAAATGTGGCCAAGGTCTCCCAGTTTTGGCATGTTAGGCTAAGAACCCAAACTGGTTCCCCAATCAGAAATTTAGTAAGGTAGAACGTTCTTCACACTCTCACCAACCATGCTTGAGTTTGAAGTCTGAACCCCTACCTGGTAGGACAGTTCTAATGAACACAATGTTATTGATAAAAGACTAAGGTATTTCTCTTTCTTCAACATTCTAGCTTTTTGTGAGAGAACCTGAGAGAAGACTGGGAGCAAGAGGGAACATCCGCCAGCATGCCTTTTTCCGGGAAATAAACTGGGAAGCTTTAGAAGAAAGAAGGATGGAACCTCCTTTCAAACCAAGAGTGGTAAGGATGCATCTTCTTTCAGTTCTACCATCTCATGTCTTTCTTTCCCAAATCATTCATTCCGCAAATATTTAAACCCTCCAGCACATGCTAGCAATAAACCAAAGCCAGGACCTGCAGTAATGTTATAAACCCATTTATTTAGGGGCACAGTCCAAACTCTTCAGACATGGGTCTTTTTAATGTCAGAGACCTCAAATCCTGTTTAGATTCACAGAGTCAGCCTTTTAAAGGTGGGTAAATGTCTGCTTCACACTGGAATTAACAGTTTTAGGCACCAAGTGAAGGCTTTCAAAATGCCTTCAAATTTTCAGGATTATATCTTCTGGAGTTGCTCTGCACATGCAGTCTCTCTGACTAAAAGTAGATGGAGGACGTTGGTCTTGGGCCATCAGAATGGAAAGTGTTGACTCTTACTTAAATGTCCAAATGCAGATTAAATTGTTCACAGGCTGTCTGGTATGTTGTGTACACCAGATACAAGCAGCTGAAACCAACTACAGTTTGGATCTACCACAGCCTCACTCATTGTACAGTCGTTAGAAAGATAATTGTGAAGTACGTAAGTCTATTGGCTAGGCTGCCTGACCTGATCATCATGACTACTACTTTCTGATGGCTATAAGCCCAGGTCTGGCATGCCCACACCTGAGAAACCATAAATTATTCATCACTTTCTCAGTTACCATAGCAGGGGTCTGGATGCCACTTAAAACACCTTCCCTTAACCACATCAGTGCAACCCATTCTGTAAGGATTACCTTTCAGTGCACTGCAGAAGGTAAAGAAGGAAAAGCAGTTCAGGTAACCAAGTGGTCGGCTAAGTCAGGATAGTCCTGACTATTGATAACAGTCCTATTAAACTATTGAAGTCCTATTAATTACAATAATACAATTTAATTTGACAAGTGCATCATACTTTCATTTTACAGTCCTTCACAAGTGTTATTTAATTCATGGGTCCAGTCCGCTGTGTTATAAAGCTGTAACATCCCTGCCTGGCTGAATTAATGGATCACAGGCTCAGAGCCTCCTATATCATATTTATTCCCTTTACTACTTCAATAGGATGGTAATAAGCAAGTGATTAGCACTGGCTGCTGGATATTAAGAGCTCAGACAGAAGTTCACTGCAGCTTGACATGTTACTATACATCGTTTGAGCTGGAGTAACTAATCATAGTGCAAAAGGCCAAGAGCAAATGCATTGTGGGATCCCTGGCTGAGCTGAGCTTGCTCTCAACTAGTTGAGCTGAGCCCATAGGAAGCAGCCTGATAGGGCCAGTACCATTGTAATGAATATCTGAATATTAGTGGTTTGACATCAATTTTTTTCTTCCTTTTCTTGAAGAAATCTCCGAGTGACTGTAGCAACTTTGACAAGGAATTTCTAAATGAAAAACCTAGACTGTCCTGTGCTGACAGAGCGCTGATTAACAGCATGGACCAAAATATGTTCAGCAACTTTTCTTTCGTGAACCCTAAAATGGAGAAAATATTTTCCTGAGATCTGCCTTTCTGAAGGGATTCTCTGTAATGGTTTGAGTAACACTTTGTCAACTGAATACTATGCATGGTTATTTTTATCAAGAACCCACCAGAAAAACACCTCAGTGAAAGTTTGTACCATGCCTGGAGGCTTCCAGCTTATTCCAGTCTGTAGCAGATGCCAGCCACTCTTCACTAATGATGAAGTTTCTTTGTGGTATCTTCTGGTCTCTCTTCTCTCTTTTCCCAATGTTCTTGAAGTTGAGAGCATCTGAAAATGAGCAAGTGAAAAAACACGTTCCCCACTACTTGAACACACAGTCAATGGGTTTCTCTGTAAGAAAAAACAAGTATATTTGAACTTCTGGTGATAACAGTGCCCATTTCTTCAATTCTCACCTCGGCCCACCTCCTTCTGAAGGACAAGTGGTTTGCTCAAGGCCTGAGGGCATCTGGGAAGACTTCAGGCTGGGTGCTTTGGTAACCTCCACTTGTACATGTGCAGAATTGTGCATGTGTACACAGAAGTTTTGAAGAAGCAGTTTTACTTCCTAGACACTTTAAGAGTAATGTTCACAGGCGTTAGGATTCAATTTTGCTCCAGGAGGACAAAGAGACTTTGCAGGTGCCCATTCCAGCATTCTTAAATCTCAACCAGAGGCCCTGGAGCTGAGGACTCAACACCAAAGGAGGATCATTGGCATGGCAAGTGTCAAGATCAACACAGAAAACCAGTGGTTTACACTTAGTACTTGGTCAGGAAGGTTGGGAAGTTGCAGTCCAGCGGAAAACCTCAAGAACCCCTGTTCTAAAGCTTTAACTGTCCTCACACACGCCAGGCTCAGAGCAAAATCTGGACTTGGCTTTCTTGAGTTTTATCCTAAAACCTCATGAGAAAGGTGGAAGAGGTTTCCTCAAACCATTGTTTGGTCATAAAACTGGCCTTCCAGTCACGGCATTGGCATATTTTACTTGAAAGGTAGTAATCAGTCCTTGCAAAGGCTGATATACTTTCTATCGGTCTAAATGATGTCCCAACACTTTGGCACACGTGGTGGACATACATCAACAAGCTGCACCCAACAGTCACGGGGCAGGACAGCACATCAGGAGAGGGTGGTCCTCTCCTTCACCTTGTGACATTTTGCTGTTTGTTCTATCCCTTTGCAGTCCGTGGAAATGGAGATGGGTTTAAAAAAGTCTTTTCTGTGATCCTTTCATCATGGGTTCCTTTTAAATAAAGTTGCACTGTTTTCTAAGGTTGGAGAGATGTAGAACCTCCCAGTTACTGCTTGTCACTGAGAAACCAGTTAAAAACTCGGTCAAAATTAAGTCAAAGCCCAAAGAGAGGATTCTGTAATAGCTTAGACTTAGGCAGTCACCCAAGTTGGTGTTAGGGTCTATTTGAAGTGTATACATTTGGAGCTTCGTTGCATCAACCCCTCCAGTCCATGGAGAAGAGAAGCCCTAGAAGGTGAGTCATTCCAAAATCAGATTCCCTTCAGAGGTGCCTTTCTGGCTCTGCTGGACCAGGCTGTCAACTGGGACCTCCCAGCAGGATGAATGCAGCCTTGCAGGCGGTGCTGGGATATCGCTGGCAGTGACTGCAGGCACCAAATCCTGCAGGACCAAGAGCAGAAGTGCCTAACGTCGACAAGAAAAGCAGAGTGCCCTGAAAAAGGTTTCAGTCCAGTGATTCTTATGAAATCCTTGTTTGTGCTGTATGAAATGCAGGGGGCATCTGTGCTCACAGTTTGTGCAGCTGGTCATCATGTTTAACTAGAACGGTTAACAGGAATTTTTTAAATGCCAGTGCTGTTTGTACAGTTTAATAAAATGTTGTGTACAATTGGAAAATGGGCACTGAAGTGATTAAATAGGGACAAAGGACAAAGGTGCTTAGAAAAGCTGTTAAAATGGCTCTGTGCTTTCTGGGAGATGTTCCCCAGCGCAGTTTCAACCCATAAATACACAAGATGAGCAAGCATTTGAACAACTGTAACTACTCCACAGATCAGTATCTAAAACAAGGATTTGGCACTGTGCAACGGTATCCAAGAAGAGAGTAAAATGTTCCTCTGAATCACTGGAAGGTGGCATGGCTGTAAATGGGGTCTGCTATCTCAAAGGGGTTGCAGAGCCAGATGTGCAGAGGTCGTTACTATTAGAGGGCAATCACCATTTCCCTTTGACATCTGCATGAGGCTGCATCAGCCAAGACCTGGGAGGACCTGACTCTGTTCACATACTGTGGATGGAGTCTGGGTGGCCTGATCCAGACCAGAGACTGCATTTCTTAGCATTTGAAGATTGGCGGTATCCCACTCTAGATGACTGCTAGGGATGTTTTCTTTGGAACAGCACACTGGTTTGTGCTTGACACCAATGCAGGGACACCCCAAGAGTGTAGACTAAGGAGGAAGGGTGCTGAATCACCTTTTGTGGTTAAGTAACTGAAAAGCAACAGGGTTTAACACCTCTCTGACCAGAGACAGGGCTCTCTGCACTACAGCTGTGGTCCCAGATAGCTAAAGCAGCCAAACATGAGAGTGGCTCATAAAGGAACACGTTGAGTAACTGCTCTAGCAGATACAGTGTTAGGCTTACTGTAGGGCTTTTGATGCAAACCACAAGATGAAGCGCCTGCTTCTCTCTGCAAGGTGTCTTCAGCTTAAAAACCAAATAAACCCATTGAGGATGGGGGAAGGGAGATGGGGGAGGTGGGTACGAGCCGCCACGAACGTGCGTACTGTGTGTCTCACCGGTGCCACAGCCTGAAAACCCTCCCAACTCTGTCTGTGGTGTGCGAAGAGTGACGTGGTAAGCAGCAAGCGTTTTCCTGTGGTGGCAACGATTGCGAGATAGGAGCTGGTGAGGGCTGAAAGCCAAACACCCGCACGGAAATGAGCAGGAGCCAGCATACTCACAGAGATGCTCCTTTGTCTTGGCTCCACCTGGCACCTCCATACCCATCTTGACTTTTCTTCTTTCTTTTTTGGTTTTTTTTTCCCCTCCTCCATAAAATGTTCATTTTCTGGCATAGTAAATGGGGCTTGCCTGGTTTGGTTATTCATTCGCTGAAGGCCCAATCCTGTTCTGGAGCCCCATGGGATCATAGCACTGCTGTAGCAGCATGGCACCTGCAAACGTCAGGGTCTGACCTCCAACACCACCTGCCTCAGCTCAAGTTTTGGGAGTCCTCGCCACCCAGCTGTTCCTTCCCCAGTCTTGCAGCTCCACTCGACGGATGCACAAATTCCTACTTGTTGGCATTCACCAAACCAAACCTCAGGCCGATAAACAGGTCGGGATGAGTGGCGGTCAGCAGTGAATGACAGCCCTGATTTCAGCCCTCCTGCAAACACCTCCGAGTTGCTTTCCAGAGGAGGTTGGCTGGTCTCACAGCTCCTCAACATGCAGCCCAGGGGTATGGTTGCTTCTCCCGCAGGGAAGACCAAGCTCCATCCTGCACCCCCCCATGATTTTTGCTGCCAATGCAGAAAGGAAAGTCAACTTTGCCCAGTTATTACCAGGCACATCTTGCAGTGGTGAGGTATCACCAAAAGTCCCCGTCTGCCAGTACAGCTCTGAATAGTGGGTACTGCAAGTAGGTATGCTCCTCCCTTTACTATTGTATTTGTACTTTAGACACTTCAAACACAAGTGAGAAATCACAGCTGGGACCTAAACTGCTCTCTCACTCCAAGAGATGCCAGCTCACCTAGCGTATCACCTACGGCAGCCAGTGGAGGTCTCAGCACAGACCACAGGAAGCTCTTCTACCTTCCTTGCTTACAAAGAAATTTTATCTTTGCTGTATCACAGCAGCTAAGACAGCGCAGGCAGAGCTGGTGCAGCACAGGAATTAATGTATTTCTGGCTCTTCTGTAACTGGCACTGGTTGCAAGCCAGTGGTCCTGTACAGCTCAGTGGCTGTACCTGACATGATGGGGTCCATTCTACTGTTTGGTAACAGGCGCAGTGGAGTCCTTTATCCCCTATATTACCTTAATGTTTATATACACAAGGGTATGAAGTAATTGAAAAATAAAAGGAAAGTGAAACAAAGAAAAAACATCATTGAGTTGTGGAAGATGAAACAAGCACAGAAAAGAAAAGGAGGGATGCAGGTTGGTATAACCTTATGCAACGTTTCTTTCAATGGTTTCAATTACAACTCTGCTGTTTTTCTTCAAAGCCATCAGTACCATCCTAGAGTTGCTTTTGTAGCTGAAAGCACAGGAATTTTGGACATTTCAGAGGATGGGACAGCCTGAGGCTAGAACAGATGAATGGCTCTATCTAATCTGACCTCCTGGGCAACACAGAGCAGCCACCCCTACCCTGACATCTCCCCCAGAATTCCAAGTATTTCTGTCCCGAATCTGGATTCAGGTCCCAATTCAAATAATTGAATTCAGCTGCCTATGGCATAGGAATGCAGTTTAACTGCTCACCTTTCATCATCTAGCATCGCTGAGACACGCTGGGGTATCCCGGAGGACCTCCACTGAACATGGGTCTTTCCTACAACCTGTGGCATATCCCACAGCCTTATTGCCCCAAAGCACCCCCAATAGCAGTGGACACCTCTGCATAAGCAGCTGGATCAAGCCTCGTGATTGAGTTCACCCTACAACAGGCATCTGCACTCAACCAGCCGAGTCGCTCCTTGTGATGGGGACAACAAGTCACAGCTCGACACATACGATCGTTTTGGTTTTTGGGTTTTTTTTGCTTTTGCCACTGGGTTGCAAAAATACCATCTCTTTGAATTCTGTCCTGAAAAGCACCAGAAACAAATAGCCTTTGCCATGGTGCTCACCAGCCTCCCAGCCAGAGAAAATCTGCAGATGCTGGCAGCAAAGAGCATGAGCCCTTGGTAGGCAGACTGGATCTACATGCATGCGGTAGCTGCTTGTGGGACATTTATTGGCACTGAGCTACTGAAACAGCCCAAACTAGAGGCTGGTAATGTCGTCATGTTTTGACCTTGTCAGGGAAAACCCTTGTAAGAAGAAACGTCAAAAATTAGTCATCAACGTGTTTTCTGTAGTTGCTAAAGAAACTTCATGAAGGATATTCTCCATCCTCCTGGTATATCCTCATTAAGGTGGGGCAGAGAACACTGCATTTCCATTTCCATTGACAAGCATCTCCCCTTCTCCCATACTAAAGCAGTGATAACCAGAGAGGCACAAAGCTCGGTATTTATGG